TAACAGACTTCGGATGATAGCTGAAATGTTGTTTCAAAGGGGAAAAAAACATAGAATACATAGGACAGACAGAGGCACGTATGTGATAGTCCTTTAATTAAAAGAAAGAAAAACCTTTAAACTGATAGATATACAATTCACAGACAGGTTATATATTTTGGGCATATTATAAAGAGAAGTACACTTTGTAACTTTGTCAGAAGGAATTTTCGACGTCTTTTTCTTCTTTGTTTGTCTTTAAAAGGGCGGCTTGCCTGTTGTATTGTGATTTGTCTTTACCTTTTGTCCCCTGCACCTCCCCGTTCAGCTAACCCCTAGTTAAATGCCTTTTATGAGATGTTTGGCGGCAGGGGCCTGCCCCCTCGCCCACGACCAGTCCCCCAAGGAGGTGCAAGAACACCCTCTTTAAATACACAGATAGCAATTTCCTGTCCTGGCTATGTGGCATGGGAGAAACTAGAACACATGCCTAATACGATATTCTAGTTGACAGCGTAAGAAATGCAAACACTGACCGATTCTCTTAACAACTTTATCAAAATAATACACGAAGAAGATGACTTTCACACTCCATGCTTGTGTCTCAGGTCGATCTAGTATAAAACGAATTCGCGAACATTTCCAGGACAGTTAGAGTAGCCGGTCGTGGGTTCGCTCCCTGGCGGAGCTGGACTTTTTTCAAAAATAACCTTGCCTCCCAGGTCGACCCAGCCTTGAGTGGGTACCGGGTGCAGTCCCAAGAAAGTAAAGGCGGCCGGCGTGATGCTGACCACATCACCCATCTTGTGCCGATTGGTCTATACAAATTTAGGTCTATATGCCCTATACCTAAAGGCGTGGAAAAGGGTCCTTTACTTACTTTTACTAAAGTAGCCGCGAAATAGTGTATGCGTCAATAATTTAGTGATAATTGTTGTATAGAACAGGAATCTGGCGCCTTGACCGAGACAACAAATTACACCATGACCAAGGCAACAAATTACACCGTGACCGAGACAACAAATTACACCATGACCGAGGCAACCAATTACATCATGACCAAATCATCAAATTACATCATGACCCAGGCAATAAATTATCGAGAAAGATTCCCTACCGTTAAATAAATGCATACATTCTTCTTCTTGTCACTTTATTATACATTTGTCTCTGTTTGTTGGTTTTTACAGCACAGTGTTTCTTAACCTTCCTAATGTCGCGACCCTTTAATACAGTTCCTTATGTTGCAGTGACACCCAACCATAAATTATTTTCATTGCCACTTCATAACTTCATTAAATATGTGTTTCTCGATGCTCTTAGGCGACCCCTGCGAAAGGGTCCTTCGACCTGCCCAAATGGATCCAGATCCACAGGTTGAGAACCGCTGCTATAGCTTGAATTTAAAAAAAAAAAAACGCGTTTTTATTGTCTTCCTTTTCAACCTTTCTCAGAACTAGAAAACGTGACGTATAGACAATAATTTCTTTTACTGTTTACCTGAACACAGTAAAATCCATACCAGAAAACGTAGTGATCCTTCAGTAAAAGAATTTTCTAAATTGAAGCAATTAAACGAAAAGAAATTCAATCATTTAGAAAACACGTTACTTAGAATGTTTTAGAACTCTATTTTAGCCGTTACATTGATAAAACAGTGTCACGGTGTTTCTAACCGTGTTATCTGGGGACAACCAGCGATCGGTGCCTACGAGTTAAGATACTCTGATTAGCCCCCGCCCCCCCCCCCTTAATCGCCCCCACCCCCAACCCCCAATCCTATTTCTCCCCACTACATGCCCCTACTATCTGTAAGGGTCTGTAACTGTATTTAACTGAGCTTTATAATCTTTTCAGATTTCCAAAATATTTTTTTTTTCTGTTTCTTTTAATAAATTTAGTTACAAAAATGGGAAATTGGGAAATTACGGTCTGTTTATATGTCCATCTACCTTTCTAATCTATCTATCTATCTATCTATCTATCTATCTATCTATCTATCTATCTATCTATCTATCTATCTATCTATCTATCTATCTATCTATCTATCTATCTATCTATCTATCTATCTATCTATCTATCTATCTATCTATCTATCTATCTATCTATCTATCTATCTATCTATCTATCTATCTATCTATCTATCTATCTATCTATCTATCTATCTATCTATCTATCTATCTATCTATCTATCTATCTATCTATCTATCTATCTATCTATCTATCTATCTATCTATCTATCTATCTATCTATCTATCTATCTATCTATCTATCTATCTATCTATTTGTCTGTCTGTCTGTCTGTCTGTCTGTCTGTCTGTCTGTCTGTCTGTCTGTCCGTCCGTCCGTCCGTCCGTCCGTCCGTCCGTCCGTCCGTCCGTCCGTCCGTCCGTCCGTCCGTCCGTCCGTCCGTCCGTCCGTCCGTCCGGTCGGTCGGTCGGTCGGTCGGTCGGTCGGTCGGTCGGTCGGTCGGTCGGTCGGTCGGTCGGTCGGTCGGTCGGTCGGTCGGTCGGTCGGTCGGTCGGTCGGTCGGTCGGTCGGTCGGTCGGTCGGTCGGTCGGTCGGTCGGTCGGTCGGTCGGTCGGTCGGTCGGTCGGTCGGTCGGTCGGTCGGTCGGTCGGTCGGTCGGTCGGTCGGTCGGTCGGTCGGTCGGTCGGTCGGTCGGTCGGTCGGTCGGTCGGTCGGTCGGTCGGTCGGTCGGTCGGTCGGTCGGTCGGTCGGTCGGTCGGTCGGTCGGTCGGTCGGTCGGTCGGTCGGTCGGTCGGTCGGTCGGTCGGTCGGTCGGTCGGTCGGTCGGTCGGTCGGTCGGTCGGTCGGTCGGTCGGTCGGTCGGTCGGTCGGTCGGTCGGTCGGTCGGTCGGTCGGTCGGTCGGTCGGTCGGTCGGTCGGTCGGTCGGTCGGTCGGTCGGTCGGTCGGTCGGTCGGTCGGTCGGTCGATCCGTGCGGCCGTCCGTCTATGTCCTTTTCATTTCATTCAAATTAGATAACATAAGCCCTCTCATCTCCATTGCAGCCGGTCCGCTGCTTAACTGCCTGTGGTCTCCCATGTATTATTACTCTTCTGCATTTCCCTTTCTACTGTCGTCTCCCTTGTAAATATGCCATTCCCTAGTGAGATGTACTTGCCAGTGTCACTGGGCATTGTGCAAACATCTCTAATCTGTCTTCCTCTTTTGATAACGTTTGCCAGTGAAAAACATTATGATTTCCTACACAGTTTAGGGTGTTGAGTTGAGTTAATTCAAGAACCAACATCACAGCACTCTGGGCACTCCCATAAGCGCTCCGTCCCTATCTTCAGCAGCCAGCACAGACTTCCAATACCAGTGCTGCCAGCAGCATTCTGATTAAACGTTTGTGCCTTTCCTCTGAGCGTTGAGTATTGGCCAGATACCCTCGTCACTCCCCGCTGCATCACTCTCACCACACTGGTGATCCATTTGCTTCTCCGAATTGCACACGTTCTTTCACAGGGCCCTAACCACGTCATCAGTCCAATCTGCATCTGTGTTGAGCTAACACCGATATCGCAGCAAACGAGACATTAGCATATGACCTCTGTCGACATACAGTAGAACCTCGCTTAACGAGCACCTCTCATAACGAGTGATTCGCATAACGAGCAAAACAAATTGTAAAAGAATGACTCGCTTAACGAGCGGCGTTTCGCATAACGAGTGGCGAGGAGAAGGGAAGTTCCTGATTTTACGCATGTTAAATCAGTGTTTAGCACTCGTTCCAGTAGCATTGTCGCTTGTGATCACACATTTTCTCAAACTTGTGTTATATTGTGATATATGTACATGAATCCTCCAGGCCTAAAAGATTACCTCCCTGATAAATTTAAGATCCAGTTTCTGCCTCCCAACACCACTCCGTTATTCCAGCCCATGGACCAGCAAGTTATTTCTAACTTTAAGAAGCTCTACACTAAAGCACTCTTCGAGCATTGTTTTCAGGTGACTGAAGGGACCAAACTCACTCTCAAAGAGTTTTGAAAAAATCACTCCCACATCGTTGCCTACCTCAAGATGAACGACAAGGCGGGGGAAGGGGTTACCAAGAGAACCCTAACTCCTTCTTGGAGGAATCTTTGGCCGGAGAGTGTTGTCGATTTGTGACTTTGAGGGGTTCGAGACAGTACCTGTGGAACCTGTAGTCAACGAGATTGTGTCTTTAGTCACTATCATGGGACTGTAGGTGGAGAACAGTGATATCGAAGAGCTTGTGAAAGAGCACAGCCAAGAGCTGATCTTCGAAGAGCTAATGGAGCAACAATCTTCTAGCGAAATAAGAAAATGCTGAAAGCATGGGAAACTATTGTTTCTCACACTGAGAAGAATCACCCTAATAAGGAAGTGGCTATGCGCGCTGCAAATTTAATGATAATGCGGTGTCGCATTTTAACCAAATTTTGAAGGCTTGACAAAAACAAATGTCTCTGGACATCTTTCTAGTAAACAAAATAATTAGCTATGTATCATAATTATTTCGACTTTTGTTTTCTGCAAATCGAATTCGCATTCCATGTGGGTTCTTTCCGCGTTTGAAGAAAAGATAAAGATGATTCACTCTCCTTAAATATGTATATAATTTTCTTTCAATAAATGTTATAGTATAACTTATACATATCATTTTGTGAGTATTTTTTTCGACATGGAACGCATTATCGTATTTTACATTAATTTATATGAGAAAAATTGCTTCGCATAACGAGTGTTTCGCTTAACGAGTATGATTCTTGAACGATTTATGCTCGTTAAGTAAGGTTCTACTGTACATGTTCAGCAGCCAGCGAAGTTCAAGGTTGATCTCATAACCCCAAAAATGATGACATCATTTACCAAACTGCACAAATCAAAATTCTACTTCCGTGTCACAATGACTGCGAGGCTTAGAGAAAACTTTGTCCTTAGACAGATAATTGTGCACTATATACTTTCTTCAGAAAGTAAATTATATTCTTGCTAGGTATAGTTTATTCGGGAAGTATATTAGATATATACTTTTTTGACATATCCATGGGATGTAGCAGCACCAAACAAAGCGATTTAAACGAGTAAGTAAAAGTAATACTATACAAAAGTTAAAGTATGTTCTTTGTCTAACTATCATCATCACTACCTTTCTAGAGTAACCTAGAAATATGTCCTAAGATCATATTCCACATGCAGTAAAATTCAGTCATTGTAGATTAATAACGTAGGCATGTTTGTCGGCGGGTAAGAGGCGCCATAACCTCTCCCCCCTGTTGCCTTGCAGGGTAAGTCTTTTTAGACAAAGGCTATTGGAGTCAAACCATATACAAACCGGCGGAAGGCAAGGGGAAACCACCGCTGTACTATCCCAAGAAAATCATGCCTCAAAATAATACGTATTCAGATAACGACGTGAATGGGGATTCCGGTGGAATCACCTCGTCCGGTAGGGAGCATCATGTTCTACGGGTGATACCCGACCGTCATCCAGCTACTGTAGAGAAAGTAAATGGTAGAAACATCCTAGACATTGGTACATGGAATGTCAGAACACTTGTGCAAAACGGAAAGTTGGATAACATCAAGATGGAAATGAAAAGAATGAACATCAACATACTAGGAATTAGTGAAATGAGATGGCCAGGAGCAGGGGGAAAGTATTCAGATCAGCACAGAATTATCTACTCGGGAGGGAAAGAATATAGCAAGGGAGTTGGTATTATTTTGGATCCAAAAAACTCAAAAACTGTTAAAGGATTTTGGACAATATCAGATAGAGTACTATTAGTAAAACTTCGCGGCAGACCGTTTGACATCAACTTAGTACAGATTTATGCCCCAACAGCAGATAGTTCAGAGGAAGACATTGACGCATTTTATGATGAGTTAGACATGGCTGTTGATCAATGCAAAAATTGTGAAGTAACAATGGTACTTGGAGATTTCAACGCAAAAGTAGGAAGTGAAAAAGTGTACGGAATAACGGGTGGATATGGACTAGGAGAAAAGAATGTGAGAGGTGACAGATTAATAGCATGGGCTGAGTCGCGCAGCATGATAATAGGTAACACCTGGTTTAAACACCATCCTCGAAGATTGTGGACTTGGAAAAGTCCTGGTGATAATGTCCGCAATCAGATTGATTATATTTTGATTTCAAGAAGATTTCAGAGCAGCTTAGTTGGAGCTAAAACTAGACCAGGGGCAGACTGCTTTAGTGACCATGTTCCAGTTGTAGGAAAAATTAGAATAAAACTAAAGAACATTAGAAAAACACCACAGAACATCAAGTTAAATTTAGGAATCCTTAGAACGGATAAAGAAATTAAGGAACAGTACAACGTCACTGTACAAAACCGGTGTAATGCAATGGAAATTATACAAACAATTGATGAACAGTGGGATATGTTGCGCGAGTCAATTCAGCAGACATCAAAAGAGACAATCCCACCAACCCATACAGTTGCAAAAAAGAAATGGATGTCAACCGAAATTCTGCAGTTGATGGATGAAAGAAGGAAGAAAAAGAATGATAAAGAAGAATACTCTAGAATACAAAAAGAAATAGTGAACAAATGCAAAGTGGCTAAAGAAGCCTGGCTGAATCAAATGTGTACAGAGATTGGGGAAAATCACGGGAAAGACTCACATTCCATGTACCAACAGATAAATATGTTAACAGGAAAGATGACACGTAACAGCACTGGATGTTTGATATCAAAGGATGGTGACTTATTAATGGGACATAGTAATATAATTAACAGATGGACAGAGTATATAGGGGAATTTGTATGATGATAATAGACCAGACGTAGAACTGCAGAACAACAATGATGGTCCACCAATAATGACTGCAGAAGTTGAGGATGCAATACATCATATGAAGAAAGGAAAAGCACCCGGGCCAGACAACATCTCACTGGAAGAAATCGAAGCACTGGGAAATTTTGGAATTGAAATAATAACTAAACTTTTAAATGATATTTTTATAACAGTGGGTATATTCCAATTGACCTTTTAAAATCCATATTTATAGCTCTGCCGAAGAAACCAGGCACTTTAAAATGTGAAGACCATCGCACAATAAGTCTTATGAGTCACATGACTAAGATTTTACTGAGAATAATTATGAGAAGAATAAGAAACAAAATTAAACCAGAAATCAGCGATGAACAATGTGGATTTGTAGAAGGAAAAGGTACAAACAATGCCATATACATCCTAAGGACATTGTCAGAAAGAGCTATAGAAGTAAAGACTGATTTGTACTTATGCTTCATAGACTATACAAAAGCATTTGACTGTGTGAAGCATGAAGAAGTAATCAAACTGTTAGAAAAATTAAACATTGATGGGAAAGATCTAAGAATAATAAAGAATATGTATTGGCAGCAAACAGCAGCTATAAGAATTAACAACTGTTTAGGTACATTTCAAAGCATAAAGAGGGACGTACGACAAGGATGTGTACTTTCACCTGATTTGTTTTCAATATACAGTGAATATATTATGAGATCTTTAATTGATATGCCCGGAATCGTGGTTGGTGGGCACAATATAAACAATTTACGTTATGCTGGTGACACAGTCTTGATAGCAACAAGTCAGAAAGAATGACAGGAAATGATAGACATTGTGGTGTTAGAAAGTGGAAGAATGGGCCTCAGTTTGAATAATGGGAAGACAGAAGTAATGGTGGTATCAAAGAAACAAATTATTCCTAAATGTGTAATAAAAGTCAATGGTGTTATTTTAAGACAAGTACAGAAATTTAAGTATCTGGGCACATGGATAACATCAGATGGAAGATGCATAACTGAAATAAGAAACAGAATTGGACAGGCAAAAACTGCATTTTATAAAATGAAAAACATCTTGTGCAATATATCCTTGTCATTGAGAGTTAGAAAAAGAATTCTTGCTTGCTAAATACATCCAGTTTTAACATATGGATGTGAATCCTGGACAATCGGTAGGCAGGCCAAACAATTTTTAGAGGCCTCAGAGATGTGGTTTTACAGAAGAATGCTTAGAATACCTTGGACAGCCAAAAAGAGCAACCAAGAGGTTTTGAAAGAGGCGGGAGACCGAAGACAACTTATCACTGACATCAGAGGGAGACAGTCATCATTTTTCGGCCATGTTATGAGAAGAGGGAAAATAGAACATGTTGTGACCACTGAAAAGATCTGTGGAAGGAGGGATAGAGGAAGACAACGAGAGAAGATGCTTGACAGTCTTGTTGCATGGCATGGAGGTGTGTCGGCACACGAACTGATACATGCTGCAGGAGATCGCGGATTATGGAGAGGCATGATCGCCCACGCCAGTCGACAAGGCACCTGATGATGATGATGATGATGATGTTTGTCAAAGCTGAAAAATGATCGGCCCAATCAAAGTACTGTTATGTATAGCATTCAAACGGTGTGAAATCCTTTGTGATTCTTTTATCAGTTTCTTCTTCATTCTTCTTCTTCTTCTTCTTCTTCTTCTTCTTCTTCTTCTTCTTCTTCTTCTTCTTCTTCTTCTTCTTCTTCTTCTTCTTCTTCTTCTTATAAAAAGCAGAAAGATAAGAAGTTGATTCCGATATAGATTTTGTGTTGACCCTCTTCGAAACTAAAGCGCTCATGAACTAAGTGCCAGACGTATGAAAATGAGGCTTTTTTCTTCAACTTAACAGTATTTTTTTTTTATTGGACTGCTTCCTTCTTTTCACATCTTATTTGTTCTCGATATTTTGTGTCCTCCCACTCACCTGCCAATAGAGTCGTTCTCGATCCGATTCCTAGTAACAGCATTGATTATTTTACGAAAAGTGCGGCTCTGGAGTTGACTCATAAAAAACATGAGATTTGTTAGGGGAAATTTGACGGGACCAGAGCATTACTGATCTGTTTACCCCCTGTGTTTCGTCGTCTAGCCGTAAATGTGAATCCAATGCAATGTTCCCACTACTTGCTTGGAGCAGAGCTCTTCAAACTTGTCATAGTGTGGACACACTTTTTAGAAAGAGATGAATAGTGTTGCTGAAACCTGCAAAAAAGATGAATAAATCCGCCACCCAAGCCAACCGAGAAGCGCAAGACAAATACAGACAACTGCGACACTGGGCTACAACCTGGTATTAGGGAGACGACACAAGACACGCTTATTAGTTCACGACACATGAATTCAGTCTACTAGTCTACTTACTAGCACGAGAGGTTAAACTAAACCCTTATAAGAGAAATGGAACCATACATAAATGGTAACAATAAAATGTTTTACGGCCCAACTTATCTGATTAAACCTTTTTTTTTATTTTTTATTTTTTTTAATGTAAATTATTTCCAAAATTCACATCATTGTTTTTATTTACGAGCAATAACAATAATAAAACAAAAGGAATAACATAAATTTAATAACAACAGTTCGCGCGGTACATCTTCAACTGCAGCCCACACATGAATGTAGTCTACACAACAGGTTGGAAAGCTATGGCTTAGAGGAATATAATAAAGAGGTTCTCCTTACCAGTGTTGCCACTTTTCTTTGACAAAAAACATCCAAACCGGAGTCAAAAAATATCTAAAAACATCTGAATTTGCGTGGAAAACATTTAGAAAAAACATCCAAATGGAAAAATCATGTCCTCATCTTTACTGAAGTCTGCCTTACAAGATCCACAGGATAAACTTAGCTTGGATGATGAAGTTGAAGCTTCAGATCCAAAATGCCTCTTCTATGCTTTAGCTGTTCCAATTTCTTTTAATACCCAATCAGGGAGCTGATAAGTGGAACAGCCTTTTCATACTCTTATCAGGCTGAATTTTATTGTCAAAATAGCATTTAAGAGGTCAAATTTCATCCTGTTTCTTAGGTTAGACTGGATAAATTCACTCCAAATGAAAACAATCTAGAAAGACATCTACCATCTAAACGTCAAAAACGCCATCTAAATGCACGGAAAACTATCTAAATCTGGCTGTAAAAAATCCAGAATCACTGCGTAATTTTTCGGCGACTGGATCACCGGTTTTGGCTTGCTAGTAGAGGACTTCATCGCCGGTAGGGACAGTATTTTGGGTCTGTCTCCTTTGATCGCATCAACACTGCGGGAGTCCTTTTCAGGGCTCTTGGTGGCGTGCAAAGCTAAGCCCTTTTATATGGCGCACATAACCTAGTCACAACTATAACCTAAACCTTCCCTTTGGGGATGCTGGTTAAAAGTGACCATATTATTTTAGGCAAATCACCGACCGTGTGATTTCTCACAAGCTTCTTGTATCTTCTTGGTTTTAAAAAAGCATCGGATAACAATGCTTATTCTGTTCCTCTACAGTTTGCATGCGAGCTGTTGATTATGTGGTTCTTTAAAAACCAAAGTGTCTCATTGTGTCTTTTCATAACTGACGTGATCATGTGTATGCGTGGGACTTCAGATATCACAAAAGGTGATACATTTTCCATAATAACTGCCAGTACTGTCTGTAATTACCACTTCTGCGGTGTAGGCAGGTTTAAAAAAAAAAAATATATATATATATATACATATATATATATATATATATATATATATATATATATAGAGAGAGAGAGAGAGAGAGAGAGAGAGAGAGAGAGAGAGGGGGGAGAGAGAGAGAGAGAGAGAGAGAGAGAGAGAGAGAGAGAGAGAGAGACCTCACAGTGTCAAAAATATATGTGAACAGTAGAAAGGTTGAAAAACCGATCAACATAATGGCACAATGGTAGTAACCTATAAGTGCTCCGTTCTACTTCTAACTCAAGCCTGAGACCGAAGAATCTCGCAGTGCATGAACTCCGTAGCACCGGCGAGGATCCTGAACCACTTTAGGTAGATTTTTAACTCAAAATTTTGCCCGGGCAACACAGTTAAGCTACTCTTTTCGATCTCCAACTGCGAAGTTTTGCTTTTTTTAAACGTTTGCAATAATACACACGGGCGTCCGATCTTACTACACAGAAACCAGGGGAAATTACTAGAAGTCCACGTGAAAAAATCCCATCCTTTACCAGGGCCTAAACCCGGAACCTCCAGCACTCAAGACGGACTCCATGCCTCGAGACCACTCCGACCCCGTAATACAAATAAAGCATGTGGTTCTTATTAAATAACAGTTGGTTCGCAAAGTCGTCTAGTGTTTTAAAATCTTCAAAGACCCCCCAAACCACACCCCCCCCCCCTTTTTTTTTTTACACCACAAAAGTAGTAACTAAAGACAGTAATGAGTTAGTTCTGTTACTGATATCCTCGTTTTGATGCCAGCTATTATGCCTTCGAATATGCTAGATCAAGTTATGATCTACTGCTATGGGCACTTCAATTACTGATATCCTCATTGTGATGTCAACTATTATGCCTTCGTATATGCTAGATAAAGTTATGATCTACTGCTATGGGCACTTCAATTACTGATATCCTCGTTGTGATGTCAGCTATTATGCCTTCGTATATGCTAGATCAAGTTATGATCTACTGTTATGGGCACTTCAATTCCTCCTTTACTTCAGTCAGCCAGTCAATCAGTTGCCGTCTCCGCATCTCATTTGTTTTGTTTTTTTATACACTCTTTTAGATTGTTGATCGTTATTTCCTTGATATTTAGTTTTTACTCTTGTCGTTGTTTACCTCTTGTTCTCTTGCCTTTGATTTGTCCCTCCAGTAACGTTTTAAACAGTACAATGTCTTTTAATATGACCGAACTATCTCAGCTGTTTCTTTTCTATTCTTTCAGATCTCTTATTTCATTCCCTATCTCTTTAGAAGCAACGCATTTCATTGTTTTTGTTTTCATGGCACACGACCTATTTTACTGTGTGTCTTCAAGAAACTATGTTCAACTGTCTAGTTACTTGTTCATTGTCCAGGTTGCTGCACCATACAGGTGGTTTAAGTATAAATTAAATTTGACAAATCTAAAGTTTAAGAAGTTATTTATCTTTCTACATGTCAGTAAAGTTCACATTGTAAAAATATGTTTAGTCATTCATGTTTTTTTTTTTTTTTTTCATTTCTTTTTCGCTTTTGTCATCATCTGGTATTACATATCTGAGAAGGACAAACTTGGTACTTGTTCTCATGTCTCTCCATTTACTGTAGTGCTCTTTCATTTTTCAGACAACTAATAGAACTATCAGGAGAAAAAAAAAATGGAAAACAGATGCAGATGCGGTAAACTCTTGGTTTAGTGAGCAACCACAACCCTCTTTGCGGACGACATTCACCGCCTGCATAAGTAATGAGATGCTTGCCTGAATGCCTTCGGTCACATTTTTTTTCCAGCTGACCAACCCATGGCTCATAATGTATTCAAACGCTGTGTTTAATTTTGCCCCATTTCCTAATTTGTCGTTCATGCTTTTGTAATCAAGCCATTAGAACTGGTTTCTAGTAAACGTTCATTATGTCTGTGTATCTATGTATGTATAATACACATATTATATATGTATTTATATAAGTATGTATCTACATAATTATGTATGTACGTAGGTTTCGTAGATAGTAGACAGGCAGACGGGTAGGTAGGTAAATAGGCAGGTGTGTATAAGCTCTGGTTTCTTTTCTCGTCCTATTGAACATAAACTGTCATCTATCTTATCTTTTAAAAGCACCAACACCTATAATCATTATTCTTCATCAGTGCATAGCATCATTCCTTTATTCCCTCTTGGCACCATTACCCATTGATACTATTTTAGTATATTGTCTGTTTCGTACTTTCTCTACACACATATTCCTATATTATATGTTTGTTCGTATTGTGTTATATTTGTTTACCTAATGTTTGAATACCATAGTGTAATTATTTCATTCATTTCTTTGTCTGTGTCAAGTTTTGTTTCTCGTCATATTTTTGCTGATGAAAGTTAATCGTCGCAACGTTATTTTTTTAAACATTGACTATCAAGGTTATCTGCCGTTTCGGTTTCACTGGTACCAGTATATATCCTAAGAAGTAAAGACAGTCTACATGATACAGACCATATTACCCACCTGCTATCCTTTTGTCTATATAAGGGCTGTTTAACTAAATTTATTCAGGGGCCGAAGTTTTGGAAATGGACCAGTCGGCCGAGCTCAGCATGTAAAGATCTTTAATACAGTAGGATTGGCGGGCCACTTGCCAGGCCATTGTTGGGCAGATTTGGCCCACGGACCGCCAGTCGAAAGTAATATATATATATATTAGTTAGTTAGTTAGTTATTCCTCTTGTGCCAAAGATGGCGCATAGGGCAGAGGTTATAGCTTTCCACGTCTGTCGGTTCGTTGCCACTTGATGTAGGTCTTGAGTGCGACTGAGACCTATGGTTGAGCTCTCCCTTGTGATGGTTCTACGGAGAGTTTCTTTTGGTCTTCCTTGTTTTCTTTTACCCTCTGGTGACCATATGAAGGCTTGGTGGGGAAGTCTCTGTATGTCCATTCTGAGTACGTGACCGATGTAATTCCAGCGACGCATTCTAATAAAATCAGACACATATTTTTGTTTTGTTTCCTGTCTTATAGATGTATTGGACCTAAAGTCCGACCAGTGAACATTCAATAGCTTTCGGAGGCATCTATTCTCTCTCGAAAGCGACTAGTTTCTTATCGATTGATACTGATGATTTCCAACTCTCACAACCATAAGTTAGCACTGGGATAACACAGGAATTGAAGACCTTAAGTTTCGTGTTGTTGCTGAGTGATCTATATATATATATATATATATATATATATATATATATATATATATATATATATATATACACACACACACACGCACACACACAAATGCATGGCTAGCACAATATACCTAATATCCAGGTGTCACAGTGACGAAATTGTCAAGATGTTTGACTCGTGCTTTGAAGGTGTTTAGTTCGATTTCGGGCTCTGTCCTTTGGCTCACGAATTCTGGTGTTTCGGAGAATTAGGGGTCGTTACTGGAATGACAGAGTTCATGCTTGTCCAATGATCTTGCAGTCGATAAGTTGTTCTAAAGAGACAGATGGGTAAAACACCGTGCGTGAAGTCAATGTTCTCGCCTTTAAATGCCTCTTACTTATTACTCGTAAGTGAGGCGTTTTTTTTTTTTTTTTTAAATAGATGTCACCATGTTCAACCATGTAGTAATTTAGGGTATTTACAGCCGGCTATTCATAACCGACTACCTCCATCTACATTAAATTGTAATTCTTTAGGGCAAATGTTGGTGTTGGCATCTCTAACAGCTTCCTTGTGCATCTAATGCGTGTGCATGTTTCTGGATTTTGCCGGGACTAGTTTGTATGTTCGCCAATTTTCAAATGATGATTGGATTGTGTGTTTGATTTGTGTGTGTGTGTGACGTTGTGCGTGTGTGCGTGCACGTGTGTGAAGAACGGAGCAAATATGTGCTGACTAATTCACAATTAAATTGAAACCTACACTACTGCTGCTGCTGCTGCTGCTGCTGCTGCTGCTGCTGCTGCTGCTGCTGCTGCTGCTGCTGTTGCGGTTACTACTACTACTGTCATCCTAAAAAATTAACTCCGTGTTTTCCAGTCTCGGCTTGAGCCCAAACTCACAGAGACGGTATCTGTTACGATTTGCCACTCAGAATTCCAAATATGTGAAGTACACAGGTTTTCCAGAGCTGACCCAAGATGAGAAGATCAGACTTGTAGCATCAGCGAGGAACTACTTCGAGTTCATTGATGCCTCCAAGGACATTCATCCTTACACTGACATCTGCAACAAGTACCCGCGCGTTTTCTACACGTACTTCAAGAATGTCCCCCTGGATGCCAACTGGCAGCCAAACAACACCGAAGATGAGGAAGAGATTACACTAGCTGTAAGTTGTAAGAGAATTAACATGGACAGACAGACATATTTACCAACATACATGGTTCTAAGTATATTTACACAGACATAATTACCAACACATAGATTGTATATTTACACTCTTATACGGGAAACGAAACACAGGCAGACATATTTGCCCAAATATACCAGTGCACATGTATGCGCATATGTGCGCCCTAATAATGACAGACAGACAGATGACGGGCGGGCGAGCGGGCGGGCAGGCAGGCGGGCGGGCGGACGGACGGACAGACAGACAGACAGACAGACAGACAGACAGACAGACAGACAGACAGACAGACAGACAGACAGACAGACAGACAGACAGACAGACAGACAGACAGACAGACAGACAGACAGACAGACAGACAGACAGACAGACAGACAGACAGACAGACAGACAGACAGACAGACAGACAGACAGACAGACAGACAGACAGACAGACAGACAGACAGACAGACAGACAGACAGACAGACAGACAGACAGACAAAAGCTGAAGCCATCAACATTTTAAGTGTAATTTTAGTTTTCCCCCCCCCCCCCCCCCCCCCCCCCCCCCCCCCCCCCCCCCCCCCCCCCCCCCCCCCCCCCCCCCCCCCCCCCCCCCCCCCCAGCACACCAAAACTATTTAATATCAGCTATTGTTATTTGTGGGAGCTGCGTGGTCTCGAGGAATAGCGTCCGCCTCGAGTGCTAGAGGTCTTGGGTTCAAGCCCCGGGGAAGGCTGGGATTTTTTTACGTGGATATCTAGTAATTTTCCCCTTGTCTCTGGGAAGTAAGACAGGACGCCCCTGTGTATTGTTGCGCACGTAAAAAATCCCTGGCAGTTGACAATCGAAAATAGTAGCCTAACGGCGCTGCCTGGGCACAATTTAGAGCTAAAAATCAACCGAAAGTATTTCGGGATCCTCGTCGGTGCTACATGGTTCGTGCACTGCGCTGAGATTCTTTGAACTCAGGCTTGAGTTAGAAGAAGAACGGAGAACTTGTGGGTTACTACCCTTATGACATGATGTTGATCCGTTGACTAAACGTAAAAATAAACACTTGTGGTAGGTTTTGGTTGATGACTTGTGTAATAGCCCAGGCTCCCATATCGGCCTATCGCAAACTGTGTGCCAATCAATCCGGTGTGAGTTTGATTACATCGCCCATTGAATGCTAACAGGTCTTAGTATCATATGCCGGATAGACTGTTGAAGTGAAAAGAGTTCATTACGTTTTTGTTTAATTTAAAAAAAAAAATAATGAAGTAAACTAATAAGAGGTGAAATAAACTATAAGAGGTGCTGATAATTAGGCTTGAAACACCACAGACAAGCACACACACACACTGTGCACGCGCACGCATGACACGCACGCACGCGCACACACAACAACATAACAACAACAACAACAAAACGAAAGTTCACATCTAAAAGCGTACATAACTCGCTCTTAAAAGCGAAAAAGATTCATCACATACATAAAGGCGGGCAGTGGGTTTAGAAACCCCCCCCCTCCCCCTCCCCCACCCTCACCACCCCATCACTTGTTACAACATACATAAAGGCGGGCAGTGGGTTTAGAAACCCCCCCCCCCCTCCCCCACCCTCATCACCCCATCACTTGTTACAACATACATGAAGGCGGGCAGTGGGTTTAGAACCCCCCCCCCCCCTCCCCCCCCTCCCCCCCCCCACCCTCACCACCCCATCACTTGTTACAACATACATAAAGGCGGGCAGTGGGTTTAGAAACCCCCCCCCCCTCCCCCTCACCCTCATCACCCCATCACTTGTTACAACATACATGAAGGCGGGCAGTGAGTTTTAAAAGACCCCCCCCCCCCCCACCCCACCCACCTCCTTTTTCCCCATTTACACACAGACTCTCTCTCTCTCTCTCTCTCTCTATATATATATATATATATATATATATATATATATATATATATATATATATATATATATATATATATATATATATATATAATATATAATATATATATATATATATATATATATATATATATATATATATATATATATATATATATATATATTATATATATATATATACATTTCTCTCTCCCCTTTTCTCAAATGTCACATTGGTAACCACAGAGAAAGCCAAGTAATGTTAACTATTGATGTTTTGCACGTTTTCAGAAAGCAGATCTGACACGTCACACTGCGGCCACAAAATTGCTGATTAAAAACTGCATGGAAAGACTGGCTTCAGCTGAATTAGAAGATCTGGAAGAGTCGCTTCGTAAAGTCGGAGCAGTGCATGCTGAGGTGAAGACTGAGAATGGAGTAGTAAAGTCAAAGACTTGTTATGTTAGTTGTGCATTGGGTATCGGACCGTTTTCGACGCCTTCAGGTGTATTAGGCATATAGGGCTAGACCTATATTTTATAGACAAGTCGCTACTCTATGGGTGATGTGGTCATCGTCACACCGGCCGCCTTTACTTTCTGGGACTTTTACCTGGTACCTATTTAAAAGTGCATCGACCTGGGAGCCACTTCCCGGGACTTTCACCTGGTACGTATTTAAAAGTGCATCGACCTGGGAGCCACTTCCTGGGACTTTTACCTGGTACCTGTTTAAGAGTGGGTCGACCTGGGAGCCACTTCCCGGTACTTTTACATGGTACCTATTTAAAAGTGGGTCGACCTGGGAGCCCATGTCTTTTTATTTTTAAATGCAGCTTCGTTAAAACCTGAAAACACGATCTTTCGATCTGCAGGCAAACGTATTGGTTATACGATGATATAAATATTTTGACTGGCTAACTGACGCTCGAAAATGATGTTCCAATGTCCAGCTAGTCGCGTTTAATGCACATAACATTTCTTTAGTACCTGTTTTAAGCTGTGTCGATCTGTGAGTCTAGGTTAGAGAGAAACATAATATTCTGACCTGAAAGTGTTACATCCCACTAATATTTTGAGCTGAAAATGGGTCATCCCAAACAAGGCAGTCCCCCCACCCCCTCATTTCCACTTTTTTTTTTTTTAGTAACCATGGGTGAAAGGTTGATTGCTTGCTCGATAATAATATTAAAACATAAACAACTGTCGCCAATAAATAAACGATACAATCTAATCTTTAACAGCACTTGAGAAAAAAAAACCACTCTGCAATGAAAATTCCCAATAACACATTTCAGGCATTAAAAGTATCTAAAATTATAAAATCTAAAAGGTCTACAGATATAACTATATAAACAGTTCTGTTTTCCTGGATTTTTTTTTTTTTTTTCGGAACCATTTACCTTGTTTGGATTACCGACGGGACGGGCGGGGCACACTTAAAAAAAAAAACGGGACGTGTGGTTGCTCTAGACTAGGTGCATTATTTGAAAACAAAATCTGCCTGTTTGCGGTATCTTATCTCAAACCCTCAGACGGGCGGACCTAGATCTAGTCACTGCACCACTGCTACTTGCTGTAAAGTTTTCTTACGTTTTTCTGTCTTTGCACATTCTGCTTTGTGCAGCTAGGCGTCGCAAGTTTAAAGATGATCGGTATCTGGACTAGGAAACGCTTGATTGCCCGGTGTGCTGTGATGATGTGGAGTCTCGGGGTATCGGGGACTCTTATAGTTCTTCTTCTTTTTTTATCTTTCCCAGCTTCTTAGTGTTTAACTTCTATGCTGACCGCTCTCGATTCTGGCATCAATGCGTTGATTCTCATTAGATGTCCAAACATTTCAGCCTTTGTTTGTTCAATGAACTTGATTATATTTGTTTCTCCAATAGTTAGTTTCTCACATGATCTTTTTTTAGTTTTGTTCACCACCTTTCTTAAACATCTTATTTTGCAGGTGGTTAAATTGTCTTTAGTATTCCCTAGTACTATATTGCAAAGTGTGAGAACAGATTTTTTTTTTTTAAAGCTTTACTCCTTCTTCTTTCGTTTGCCTGAAATAAGTTGTCTATATCAGCAGTTTTGTCTCTTGTATAAATTTCACTGTCGTTGTTAGCTCATTCAGTGGTCCATAGAGTTTACGTTCCACTGTTGCTCTTTCTGGCCAAAAGGTTTGCATTAATGTGTCAAATTCGGTGCATTCCTGGAGTACATGCTCTGCTGTCTGGGGCACCTTTCCACAGGTGCACATGGCTGATACGCCTATCTTGAATTTTGTGTAATTGTGGTTACGTAATCGGTTGTGCCCTGTTCTGAGGCGAAGAATAATGACTTGGTCCAAATGGAGCAATGATGCGCAATACAAGACTCTTAATGTCTGTTAGCCTCTCTTACTCAAGTCTACCTCACCTTCACGTAATGGACCCTGTTCTTCCCAGCAATCCAGTTGAAGGTTGGGGTCTCAACCCCCAACGGTTAACTGGATGGGACAACAAACGAGGTAAAGGCGAAAGATGAATGGATAAGCCTACTCTCCACGAGTATAATCAGTCTACCCTAGCAAAACAAGGTGCTGAAGTCGGAGGCAACCAGCCAGGAGGTGCACCACAGCAATCAGGATACCACGCACACACGCCGTGGAAATATGTATTTAAAAAAAAGCTCTAATAAACAGAAAGATGAGAAGTATCTTTAAATACATTGCATTTTTTTTTAACGGCTCAGTCACTCTTCGCAGAGCGGCTATTCGCCCATAAGGAGTGGCACAAGAAGTTCGCACAAAGCATAATACTCCGTACATCTAGCGATAACCTTAGAGAATCTCCGAAAAAATCTGCCCCCCCCCCCCCCCCCTCCCCCTCCCACAAAGAAGTTCAAAATCCCGCCAAAAAAGTCCACACACCGTGGAAGTCGACCTCACCAATTCTTGATGGAATTTAAAATCCCGCAAATAAAATCCACACATCGTGGCAGTTGACCTTACCAATTCATGACGAAGTTCAAAATCCCGCCAAAAAATCCACACAGCGTGGCAGTCGATCTGACCAATTCATGACGGAGTTCAGAATCCCGCCAATAAAACCCACTCCGCGTGGCAGTTGACCTGACCAATTCATGAAGGTGTTCAAAATCCGGCCAGTAAAATCCACACAGCGTAGCAGTTGACCTGACCAATTCATGACGGAGTTCAAAATCCCGCCAATAAAATCCACACAGCGTGGCAGTTGACCTGACCAATTCATGACGGAGTTCAAAATCTCGCTAATAAAGTCCACACCTTGTGGCAGTTGATCTGACCAATTCATGACGGAGGCCACCGTTAAAGAAGGATGGAGTAAGGTAAATGAGCCACATCCACGTCTTCTTTGTAGTGGGCATAAAGGGCTAGACCCATGGGCGATGTGGTCACGCAGGCCGCCTCTGCTTGCCAGGACCTCGACCCAGCCTCGAATGCTTACTAGGTACAGAGCTGGGAAATAAAGGCGGCAGGCGTGATGTTAACTAAATCACCCGCCAAGTGCTGGTGGTCTATAAAATATAGGCCTTGCTCTATATTCCAAGGCATAGAAAAAGGTCCTTTTTTTCGCATGTGTAATCTTAAAAATCAGATCACAATAATCAAATCGTCATTGCTTGTTTCCCCAGTGTTGGGTGTGCTCAAAAGATATCTTATTATTTGAAGACAGCTTTATATGGTCCTTAGACAAAAGTGACCCCGATATGGATCCGAAATTGCGACAGTTGTGGCGCAGAATCGTCAAATTTATCCTTCACAATATTACAATCGGAATCAACAATCATTACGACAAGGTACATCAAATTCGTTGGTTTAAGAGCATCGTATGCATATTTCTTATCAACTTTTAGTACTTAGTCATTATAGTCAGGAATGTGTGTGAGTGTATTTGTGTGTGTGTGTGTGTGTGTGCGCTCGCGCGTGCATGTGTGTGTGCGCGCGTGTGCTCGTTCTAATTCGCCCCAGTACTTGACTTGATAAGCGAAAAACATTAAGTTTAGACTTTTCTACCTGCTTCGAGGGCCTGGTTTTAATTAAGTCCATTTTTTCTGTTCAGTTTCTTATGAAGTCTTCTATTGTCTATTCAAAGTTCAGTGTCTTTGGTTCAACATGCGGGCGTTGTCTTGGCGAGTTTTGACTGGCTGCTTGTCAGAGGGTTGGGAGTGGATTTGTCAGTCCTAAAAAGGACAGGCAGTTTTTTTTTTTTTTTGGGGGGGGGGGTCGGCCTGGGACGGGTGGGTTGGGCACTTGTAGGTCTGGAGTTTGGCATTTCCTGCACCTCTGGTTAAGATGGCTCTGGTTGGTTAGTATCTGTGCTGGCGGCGGGGGCGTCTTCGATAGCTGCGGGGCTGTTCCCAGTTACTATGGCGAACCTTCTCTTCGTTTATCTCCGGGTCGTCTATACTGATTGGAAGGTCTTCTCTTGTATCGTCTTGGTTATAGTCTGCTGTCTGCTATGCGTCTTCTGAGTCTGGATTCTGGTGTGGGTCTTTGGTTTCTTGATCAGTTTCCTCCTGTTCTTGTACTTGAAGACATAATTTGTCGATTTTGGCTGCATCAACAGAGAGGTTTTTTTTCTGGACTAAACTGAATTCTTGAATAACGCTTTTGGTTTCTTTCAGCTCTTAGCGGGTAGCTGCAAGATTTTAAACTTGTGCCCTTTTTGCCTTCTCCACATCTATTAGAGATCTGAATTCACTTACCCCACTTGCCACTCTGTCGTCTTTCAGGGCCTTGATCTCCCCTAACATTAAGGAGATAAGATCAAGCGTCTCGGCTCTTTGGGCAGCGGCTCCTACTGTAGAGCGCAGATTTAAGCTTTTAGCTCTATTATCGCTTGTATCTTTTCACTGTTAGTGGCGGCGCAGGCCTTGTCGGAGATTCTGTTTTTGGAAGGCAGGCCCTGCTGGCTTCTGGGCTGTTTTGCTTCTTGCACCCTGGCTGGTCTGGGTGCCGCGTACCTATTATTTGATTCTGGGTACTGCATATTTCTGGAGGCGACAGTAGTCACCGCTCTCTTCCTCTCCTTGAGTTAGGGGCAGCCCAGATACCTCGCGCTGTGAGCACCTGTGCAATTCGAGCACCTTCTTCTGGCATACGGCTTCTTGAAGTCTGGGTCCACTTTTGCCAGAGGGCACTCCTTGAAATCGTGGGTCAATGAGCAGTATCGACACATTTGGCCGCTTCGGCAGGTTGAGGCAGTGTGCCACGCCCTATTACATCGAGCGCACTGCAGGATCTCAGGTGAATAGGTCCCCTGCTACTGCTGATTCTTGTGCAGGTTCGTGCTGGTGGCTTTCGGTGGCCTCGTGTCTGGCTGGCTCACAGGGGCATAGGGGGAATTGGATGGTGGTGACTGGCCTCCATGAGGGCTCTCGGCTTCCGAAGTGCTGGTAGCATCTGAGGGATCCGTTAAGCTAGGCTCCGAAGCAATCTCCATTTCGGCAAAAGGGCTGAGCTACTACAGTAGGCTCCTCATGGCTGAGGTCAGGCAAGACCTATTTCTTCTGTATAGCGGCTTTGTGTTGCTTCCTGGCTTTCCCCATCTTGTTTGAAACTTGCTGGCTGTAGGCTGATTTTAGTGATATCACCTCGCTTTATGGTACAGGTGACTAGCTATAGCTAGGTCTCTGAAGAGTCAGCAAGCCAGATTAAGAATCCTGAAAAGCACTCCCAGGGTGCGTTCCCAACAGTGTACCAAGCTTCAGCTTTTGGTAACAGTGCTTTCTAAGAGCCGACGCGATAACCAGTCAAGACAGTTTCAGCCGTAAAATCAAGCGAATCAAATGTCAAAACTATCGACAATGAGGCGGTCAGAACGAGCGTATCGAGCGGGCGACGAGGATGTGCGGTCTGCTGCTGTTCGCCCCAGTATTTGAATGGAATTTTTTTTTAAGCACCACCCCAGCTGAAATCGGGAGTTCTAAATATAACCAAGGGGTTGAACCGCGTTTGTGGGACTAGCCCCCGGGCGATTCTCATCCGAGTGGTGGCACTTTCTGTCACCGGGTATTTATCGCTCGTTGTGAGGTTCTGAGGGGTCGAACGTCACTTACTTACTCGCCTGGTTCGTCCGTCACATCGTTTTTCAAACTTAATAATGATCAATAATTGTGAGTATGAAGATGACTCGATTAATCCAATTCAAGCGTGGACAGTTAGTGAGAAGTGTGGACTACGGATGTAAGCAACACTTGAGGCGGTGGGATTAGACTGGGTCATCATGGAATCAAGGCCGAAGGGTTGAGATATCCATAGTACCGAGCCTAAGGGTTAACAACTCATGGCTTCTGGATTAAAAAAAAAAAGAGAAAGATCACAAGAATGTAAAGAGAACTGCCTGGTGGTTCGTAGCGAAAGCCAGTGGGAAATCTTTAGTGCAAGACAGCCTAGCATACGACATTACAACATTTAGCATGAGAATGGAGGTGGAGGCGGTAACTGCAGCTTTCCGGTCGCTAGAGAACAAGATGCATACACATGTCGTAATTTTAACAGACTCTGAAGGCGTGCTGACAAAGGTGAAGACAGGGATGCTTCGAGCAGAGTGGCAAGCTTCACTGGAAAGGTCACGGGTAGTGAGCATACTTTGGATCTTTTCTCCAGGCAATGCCGGGGTAGTAGGTAATGAACAGACAGATTAGCTGGATCTGCAACATTGGGTTGTGAATTGATACATGGCCAGGCAGATGCGGTCAAGGCCCTTTAGGAACAAGAAACGGAATCAGCAGAGAAACAAGATTGTTATCGCCTGGAGAGAATGAGGCACCTGCGTGTAACCAGAGTCTGACCGGCTCACTACACTCAGCGGAAAGGCAAGACGGACATATAACCAGATTGTGACCAGTACCATCAGTACTGGAACTCTGCGCTGGCTGCTGAAGATGAGAACGGACCACGCATGGGAATGCCCTGAGTTATGTGATGTCAATTCTTGACTCAATACAAGAATGACGAATTACCACACATTTGATGCTAGTAGAAATATTTATGTGAAGTGAATAAATTGCCTCTGCAAGAATGCCTGAATGGTTGCTTGAATTAGTCACTCGGAAACCAGGGTGTTTCCCGGTGGTACGCAGAGTAAGCAGTACCAGCACCGTATTGAAGCATCGTTGTTTCAGAACTACTGTAAAACTGTTACAGTAGTGCTGAAACAGTGATGCCTTGAAAAGGTATTCATTAACGGCGGTTTCATTCTTTTTACTAAAAGACCTGTGTTCCCATTATCGGCACCTTTATTTTTATACATTTTGCGGAGCCCGGCTCGCTAGCTCAGTTGGTTAAACCTGACTGCGTGGCGACAGGGTGACGAACTCCTTATGGTCCGGGTTCACGCTCGGAGGTAAGCAGAAAAGCCACATTTCTTCCAGATTGACGTTACCTTCCATGGAATCAAGGCCGATTGGTTGCGTTATCCATAGTACCGAGCCAAAGAGCAACTCCTGGTTTCTGGACATTAAAAAACAAAAAACACTTTGCGGTGGGTACCAGTACCTATCTTGCCTTAAAAAAAAAAAAAAGACTTAAAGAAACGAAAACCGTATTAACGGAACAAACGATTGCAGTCTGTCACTCACAGACTTTTGATACAGAAACATTTATTTTTAGCCGAAATCGATCCTGTAAAATTAATATTTAAAGATAAAATATAGTGTCCCCTGTCATAAACAATTATCTTTAGATTTCACAAAACGATACCTTCCACGGTGATGTGAACTGGTGGAATTCACATATAACATGATAGTTTATTCTGAACTGAGATTAAGTTATCCTTATTGGTGTCTTTCCTTCTCAGGGGGGTAAAGGTAAAAAAAAAAAAAAAAAAAGTAAAGTCGGAAGATGTGAACCAGCGTCATTACATACGGTTATAAACCATAAGTGCTCTGTCACCAGTAGGGACAGCTGGTAAGAAACTGTCCGTCCGCCTGTTTCACCGTCATCACGCAACTCCGTACGCAGCTCTGTAGCTACAGCGACGTCCCCCATTTACCCCAGTGTGTGGACTCTGGTACCCATTACCTAGAGGCTGGGTCTCTACAACAACTTGCGTGGGACCAGATCGACCCAAAACCCCTTGGAGTTAGAAAGAAATCCAGATTTAATTTGTAACTATAGCTACAACTTCGTGCTGATAAAACAGTACCAGGGCAGTTGTTTCAACAACAGAAATAAAAGGATGAAGGAAGCATGCAATCATAGGTACCGGAATCTGGTTTGCTATTATTGTAGCTGCTGCTGCTGCTGCCTGGGGGCTGAGTGGTCTCGAGGTATGATGCCCGCCTCGAGTACTGGAGGTCCTGGGTTCAAGCCCCGGTGAAGGCTGGGATTTTTTCACATGGACTTCTTGTAACTTCCCCTGGTCTCTGGGTAGTAAGATCAGACGTCCGTGTGTATTCTTGCGCACGTAAAAAAATATCTTGGCAGTTGGAAATAAAAAAGGGTAGCCTAACTGCGCTAAATTTAGCCCGCGCTAAATTTCGAGTTAAAAATCATTTGGAAAGTATTTCAGGATCTTTGCGGGTGCAACGGAGTTCACGCACTGCGCTAAGATTCTTCAGGCTCAGGCCTGAGTTAGAAGTAGAACGGAACACTTATGGGTTACCCCATGTGCCATGATGTTGATCCGTCGAATAGACATAAAGCTACTGCTATCGATGATGAACTACATTTCTAGTATCGGACTGCTTATATTGGCACTTCTGATGCCTGCCTAATGCATCTAATATGTGTGTGTATGTGTGCTACTGGATTTGCCGAGACTGCTGTCTATGCCAGTTTTCTACATGGCTTAGTATTGGGCATTCTGTGTTTAGACTGCTGTCTGTGTTAGTTTTCTACATGGCTCAGTAAGGGACATTCTATGTTTAGACTGCTGTCTGTGTCAGTTTTCCACATGGCTCAGTATTGGGCATTCTGTGTTTAGCCTGCTGTCTATGCCAGTTTTCCACATGGCTCAGTATTGGGCATTCTGTGTTTAGACTGCTGTCTGTGTCAGTTTTCCACATGGCTCAGTAATGGACATTCTGTGTTTAGACTGCTGTCTGTGTCAGTTTTCTACATGGCTCAGTAATGGACATTCTGTGTTTAGACTGCTGTCTGTGTCAGTTTTCCACATGGCTCAGTAATGGACATTCTGTGTTTAGACTGCTGTCTGTGTTAGTTTTCTACATGGCTCAGTAAGGAACATTCTTTATTGAGACTGCTGTCTGTGCCAGTTTTTTACATGGCTCAGTAAAGAACATTCTGTGTTGAGACTGCTGTCAGTGTCAGTTTTCTACATGGCTCAGTAATGGACATTCTGTGTTGAGACTGCTGTCAGTGTCAGTTTTCCCACATGGCTCAGTAAGGAACATTCTGTGTGGAGCTGATGTCTGTGTCTGTTGTCTACATGTCTCAGTAAGGCACATTCTGTGTGGTTTTCGTTGGCACAGGAACAGAGCAACTATGGGTTAACCCGTTTACCATGACACCGGAACTGCGATTACCTGATTACCTGCCTGATGTGTCACTGGCATGACAGAGTCCTATACTCTACATAATGCAGCAGAACCTATTTTATTAGCTATTCAGGGGACCCTTTTTGAGCGAGTGAACAGTGCGGAGGCACAAATAGATCACTAAAGCTACCAAGGGATCTGATTGACGCTCAACACCCAAGGGAAGGGCGAGGCGGATATACAACCAGACAGGTACTGGTACCATCAGAACTGGAACTCTTCATTTGCTGCTGAAAATGGGGACATAGTGCTTATGGGAGTGTCACCAGTGCTATGAAGTGGATTCCTAATACAACGTTCAACATTCAACCTATTTTATTCTTATCCTAACCTCCCTCGCACGTGAAAATGTAACCTAACACAGGTCTTTTATTCATTTCCTTTATTTCAGCTATGTTACGTACTTGGACAAGAGAAGTCAAGATTTTCTTTCTTCGAACCGAAATTTCCAAGTGGAGTTAACCCAAAATCATATGGCAGCCTTAAAAAGTTGAACACCTTTATTGCACAACGCTGATGTCGCAGTTTGAAAACTGTTATTTGATTCTGAATTTAATAAAGCATATACATGTTCTGACTTCTTCTTCTTCTGCGGTCCTGTTCTGCCTTTTGGCATCAGAGTTTGAAGAGACATCGGGTGAGAGCTTTTGATATGTGCTAAACAGATGCTTGCAAAAACGGCCTCGGATATTCCATGTATCAATCGCTTGTATGGTCAACTTGTAGCTCTCCTTCCATTGTGTCTAAGTGACAGGGTTCTCTATGTTACACTATCCTGTGATTGTCTTGACAAATTTGATATTTTGATCAGTTGTCTCTTGATGTAGTTTTAGTACTGGCTCCATCCCAGCTTCTTTCTTGAAATAGTCATTTCTGATCCAGTCTCTTCTAGTTACATTGAGGATTCGCCACAAACAGTTTTTACATTCTTATCAGCTTTATAACAATCATGCTTTCTCTCCCTTTTATAATCATTGCAACTGGCTTCCACATGCTACTGGTAATCTTGGGTGTCCATAGTTTTCTGTCTAGTGTCCTATCAATGATTTATGATTTTGGTGTTCTTCAACGCCATGATGCCAAACTGTCCAAGATCTTCTCTTTTGGTTTTCCTCTGTCTCCTCTTCCCCTCCAACTTTCCCCTCTTTTTTCATCTGTCCCTGCCTTCAGCAGAAAGTGCAGAGTTCCAAATCCCATGGTACCAGTAACAGTCTGAATATATATGACAATCTCGCCAGTCTCATGAGTTGTGTGCACTGGCCAGATCCTCTAGTCACTCCACCCTGCAGCATTCTTTTCAGACCATTTTGGCCTCCACAGTTTACTCACTCCCAAAGGATCCTAAAGACATCTAGTTGTCATGTAATAATTAACTAGGAAGGGGTGCAGAACCAGCCAATCTATCTGCCTGTTCATTTCCCAACAAAGCAGCCTGACCTTCCTCATGATGTTCCCAGAGTATGTCTACTTCTGATGCCAGTAATAAATTCTTTTTGTTAATTAATTTCAAGATTTCCTCATTATGCATTTTATCAGTCCATGTTGTTCTCATTATGAACAAATAAAAATATACTGAACAGTTATCTCCCACTTATACCTTTTACTTCCTCTTGTCAGGTCTGGAGTACACATCATCATCTTCAAGAAGCAGGTCCTTTGCAGAACGCCACTCTCGTCACAGTCTGCCTGAAAGAAACTCTGTCATTCACCAGCTCTCTTACCTCATGCACTTTCCTACCCAAGGTTTCACTTATAACTTGCCTCTATCTCTGTGCTGGTCACCCTTGCTTCTTTTTCCTGACAACATGTCTTCTGCTGTTATTCTTTCCAATCTTCTGTGGCGCTTGACATGGCCAAATAGTCATTCTCACTAGTCATCTCCTTGTGAGATGCAGTTTTTCATTATTTTGAAGCCCCACCCTGCTTCTTGCCAGGGGCCGCAATATAGCCCGGCCATACATATGGTCTAATGGCTGAACGCGGTTTCTAGGACCACTCCATGGGTGATCCTCATCCACATGGTGGCATCTTGTGTCAACAGATGTTTAACGCATGTGTGATGTCCTAGTGGGGTAAAATGTACTAATTGCCAAATCATTTCAGTTTCTGATATATGATGCTGTTTACTAGCCAATCTTTGTTGATGTTCAGATATTTTAGGATGACTGGTTTTTTTTTAATGGTCCATAGCATTTTAGGAAGGAGTAGGCATATAAAATCTAATAATAACATTGCATTATCATAAGTGAGGATCTGCAACAATACCTCATACTGCTGCCTCGAATGTTAAAACACTGCTGGCTATCACATATAATTTTTATAATCAGATTATTAGAAGAGAACAAATAAGAACAAATAGTGACATTTTAAAAGATCTGAATATCAAGGAAGATTAGCTAATAAAAAGCATCTTGTCTGAGATGCTGAAAGATTCTGGTCATATCAAGCGCCTTGGCGGACTGGAAAAAATAATAGCAGAAGGAACGGTACCAGGAAGGAGGGACAGGAGCCAACCAGCACGATGATGGGCACAGAATATAAGTGGCTCCTTGAATACGAAAGTACACAAGGCTGGAGAACTGGCAGGAAAAGTTTTTTTCGACAGACCATGATGAGAGCGACGTTCTGCAAAGGGCCTGCTACATGATGATGATGAGTTTACGGTTTTTATCTGCCATTTTTAATACTGTCAGTTTTGTTCTGCCAGTCCATATTCTTTGGCAATTTTCTCATATACAACAATGTAACTACTGCAGATTACAACAATAATGCTGCTGATTATCACATAAAATATGGCAAAAACATTGCAAATTGTCACCTAATATATGATAACAATGCGCTATTACAAAGAGTATGACAGTAACACTGTTATTCATAATAAAAATATAACAGTAAGACTCATTCTACTTCATGTCTGAGTACATTTTTTGTTTTTCATGTTAATTATAACTGATCTTCACTTATTGGCGGAGAACATGTCACTTGGGCTTCTGTCATGTTGTCTGACAATGTCACAAAAGGGAACCCAGCATACTGTATGCCTGCTGCCTCATCCTTGTATGAGTGAACTCCTATATTTGCAGCTCCTTGATTTCCCTTCAGATATAAAGTATGACATGGTATAAATATTATAAAACTACAGTAAAAACAAAGTAAACAACCCTTTACAATGCCCCTGGCTCACTAGACATATGGTGCTAGACCAGTATTTTTTTTAAACAAAATGGCATTCAGTGGGTGATGCAGTAAAAATCTTTCTAGCCACTTTTATTCCCTTCAATATTTCCTTGTACCCATTTCAGGCTGAGTCAACCTGGCAGCCTAGGTCATATCTTCTTCTTCTTCTTCATGTTCACCAGCTGTAAACTCTGGTGGAAAGTTCTGGTTGTTCGTCCACTTCTGGACTGCAGTCCTGTTCCTGAGTGTTGTGTGTGCATCCATTTTACAGACCTGACTCATTTGTATGCAAACTGCTGGTTCCTTGCCTCTCAGGCAGATGCACTCTGACTTTGAAGGAAGCTCCCAATGAATCGACTCTTATGACATGCTTTTTGGGTAGGCAGTGGGTCTATTCTTGTTTGCCTTATAACAGAGCCCTGGAAACCACACGGGGACCTAGGTATTATTATAAAAAGCTTCCTCAGTGTGAATTTGAATTCAAGGATTATGGGCTAGTGGTCAGGCAAACGTCTCTAGCCACTGTGCAACAGCACTGGGATTAAGCAGGGCAGTGGTTTTCAACCTCGGTGGGGCCACACCCAAGGGAGGTGCGAGGAAGTTCCAAGTGGGATGTCAAGCAATTCTGACATTGAGTGCATCTGTACTTGCAATAATCTGTTTTATTAACTTTTTTCTTTAGTTTTATTATAAGCAAAATATTTGTTACACTATATATTTTGTTTAAAGCTAAGTATGTTAGATTATTTGACACTCAGATTTATGCTGATGTTTTTCTCAAAGTTATTGCTAACACTGCTTAGGAATTTCTTTGTTTTCCTTTTTGTAACACATTTTTTGAAGTCGGAGGGGTGAGGATGATTCCATATATTCATGGGGAGTGGCAGGGTACTGAAAAAAACTGAAAACCACTGAACTAGGGCATCACTTAATTAAGATGTAATGTTTACTGTTTGTAGTAACTGATGACTGTTGTCAGTTTGGGCTAACAATCAGCAAAAATAAGACAACGATTATGGTACAAGGTGCTAAATGATAGACATGCAGTCTACTTTGATGGTGAAGAGCCTGGCACAGTTACCCATTTTATATACCTGGGATCCTCTGTCAATTTTTTTAAAAAGAGCCTTCACTGGACCCAAAAATTCAACATCAGGATAGGTAAGGAAGCAAAAAACATTAAGCAGATTGACAAAAATAGTTTGGAGAACAAATAGTTCACGATAAAAACAAAAACTCAATCAAGCGGTATCTTTAGCACTCTTTTTTATGGCACTGAAACTTAGTCGACGTATCTGTACCAGGAGAAAAGGCTAAATACCTTTCACAAGCAATGTGTAAGAAGAATACTTCTTGAGATGCCAAGACAAGATAAACACTGAGGCACTGGAGTTTTCTAAATATGGAAGTGGACAGAAATAAATGAGAGAATGATTGCAGTTCGGTTAAATGTTGAGCATTTGAGAAGAATTACATTAAATAATTACACTGGCAACAATGGTCCTGAAATAACTGTGGAAGATATTTCTTAACTATATAACTTCTCTGTGTATATATACATATACAGATACACACATGCACCCACCCAAAACACCACCCACACAACCATGCATGCACACAAACACATGTACATATGAGATATATATATATATATACACACACACACACACACACACACACACATACACATACATACATATACACATGAGATGAGTGTTACTGATTTTGATAAAGTCAATGATAACCTTATTATCCAAAGCGATTACAACCATCTCAAAGGCTCCTCTGGTGCCACGACGTCGCATTATTTCTTTTGCTGTACTTAAGCAAGCGTTCTGTGGGCTGTAGCCCTATAAAATATACACAAATTGTTGCAGTGAAATTTACATCATCTGCAAATCTTATAAATGTTGTTATTTTTGGCATGATATATTCCTTTCATAGGCTGTAGTAATGTAGTGGTTAGACGTTCACCTGCCAAACTGAGGGTCTAGAACTCAAATCCGGGTCAAAAGCTGAATTTTTGTGTTTTTCAAAATTGACCTTTGTTTCCAGGTCAACCTTGCCTTTAACTGGTACCAGGTGATGTCCTGGGAAGAAAAGATAGCAGCATCATCTTAGCCACATCACTCATTGAGCGCTGAATAGTCTATTAAAATGTAGGTCTTGCACCAAAGACTTGAAAAGGGCCTTTACTTACTAACTTTACTATTCCTCTTGTGTCTTGTATATGTCTCGTAATGTTTTCACAATACAGAGTAAGAGGTCTGGCGATAAAATATATTTATGCTAAAATCTCTCTTGATTTCCTGATAACATAGTGACGAATTCACTAAACTTTTTCTTCTTCACATTCAGCTGTAAGCTCTGGCAGAAAGTTCTGGTTGTTTGTCCACCTCTGGACTTTAGTCTTGTTCCAGAACTTGAGTGTTTTCTGTTTTTTTTGTTTTTTTGTTGGCATGCATATCAATTTACAAATCTGATTATTTGCATGCAGACTGTTGGTACCTTACTTTTCAGGCAGATGCACTCCAACTTGAAAGGAAATACCTTAATTTAGTAGGCTTTTACAACAATCTTGTTAGGGGGAGCAGTAGATCTTTCTTTCCCACAATGATACCTTAAAACCCACACAAGAAGAACTAACGTATTACCAGGAAGCCGGGGAGAGGGGGGGGGAGGAAATCAGGGAAAAATGCACATTTAAAAAAAATGTCGACCTAATTCTTCATCAACAATTAAACCAAGAAGAAGAAGAATCATCACCTTCAAAACCTAAATGGGAATAATAAGAAGAACTCCACAGTGGGAGCCTGCACAGCAGGCGTCTACCATTCTTCAGTAGATGGGGACCTCATCAACAATTATTTCGGCCCATTATCCTGCTATTCAATCTCAGTGGGGAGTCCCCATGGCGGAGTGGCTAGACGCTCGCCGCGGATCGGAAGGTCCTAGGTTCGCTCCCTGGAGGAGCCGAACTTTTTTCAAAAATGACCTTGGCTCCCAGGTTGACCCAACCTTGAGTGGGTACCGGGTGCAGTCCCAGGAAGTAGAGGTGGCCGGCGTGATACTGACCACATCACTGATCTTGTGCCGATTGGTCTATAAAAATATAGGTCTAGCCCTATGCGCCTAAAGGCGTGGAAAAGGGTCCTTTACTTTACTTACGATCTCAGAGGATGGGCAGGCTTTGTTCATGACTGCAGGCCACAATCATCTCCTGCTGCACTAAACGGATGTTCAGACAATACGAAATGGTGGCTTTACAACAGGTGTTGTGAGGTTTGGTGTTATATATTGTCACTTGCTGTAGCAAATTAAGCGCCTACTTTCCAGAGTGACAAGCTTATGGTTGGTTCCTCGGACAGATGTCAGACTTTGGCAATTGGCAGAGAGACACTGGCAGACATACTCAGACACTTAAGCTTTTAGGGATGAAAAGTTCCTTTGAACTAGGGGCTTGGATCAGTCTAACGAGGTTATTTTCACAATTCTCCTGTTAACATAACTTGTTTCTAATCAATTTAAATCCTTTAACCAAAATGGAGACATTAATTTGAGTGTTACTACCATTAGAATGTGTTGTTGAAACAGCTATGCTAGACTGATTATGAAAGGTCATTTAATCATATCTATATGATGTATCAGGAGCAGCTGAACGGTGTAGTGACTAGATGCTCACCTGTGGATCCAAAGGTCATGGGTTCAGATCCTGATGGAGCCAGACGGTTTTTCCAAAAATGACCTTGGCTCCCAGGTTGACACAGCCTTAAATGGATACCAGGTTAAGTCATGGGAAGTAAAGGTGGCCGGCATGATGCTGACAACATCACTCATCAAGTGCCCTTTATGCTCAATACGCCTGAAGGCGTGAAAAAGGATTCTAAATGTACTTAAAGTGTCTAAACATCCAGTGGCTACAGTTGGCTTGCTGGCCAAAAGGTCTGCAATTTGAATATGCACCGAGGCAGATTTTAATAACCTGGAATCCAGGTAAGTAAGTAAGGACTCCTATCCCACCAATAGCAAACTGAGCATGTAATGCAAGAGTTCTACCTTTAGGGACTAATCAACCTTGATTGATCATGCCATCCACCTTTACTTCCTAGGATTTTACCTGGTACCAATTTTATGCTGGGCAAAACTGGAAGCTAAGATCCATTTTTAAGAGAAAATAAAATCTGACTCTGTGGATTTTAACCCACAACCATCAGGCTAGCAGGCAGAGCGACTAGCCATTACACCACCACAGCTTTGGAACCCAGGTGGACTCAACCTAAGATGAGGACCAGCAATGTGATATCACAGTAGTGCTTTAAAAAAATTATGTCTAAAAAACGAAGCCTGCTTGTATGTTCTATCTGGAATTAATACTGTGGTGGATATCATGCATTAACAATGTATATCTTATTTTAGACTAAATTAATTGTAACTACCCTCCCCTCTTTTGTAATACTGTGGTGGATATCATGCATTAACAATGTATATCTTATTTTAGACTAAATTAATTGTAACTACCCTCCCCTCTTTTGTAAAGTTATATTTGCAGGGGAGCCTGTATTAACTTCTACCTTCATGCTTCAGACACAGTTCAATAGCTGGTGTGTGCAAAGAAGCAATAGAAAAGAGCAAATCCATTGAAGCTCCTTTATGTCAGTCATGAAACTGACCTGTTTTAAAAGATCTACCACTTTGTAACTGGGACAATACCTCAGAATTTCATCACCATCGCCTGAACAACAGGCAGCTCCAGCCTGAGAGTCTGAAACAGGAAATGATTTCAGTCTTCAATAAATTTCAATGAAAATATAACAGGTTAATCTATTTTGTTTACTAGTTATGACTGACTGACTGACTTTCTACCCCACTAGGACATAACACAAGCGATAAACACCCGATGACACAAAGTGCCACCATGTGGATGAGGATCGCCGTGGAGAGGTCCCAGAAACCGCGTTCAGACAATTGGCCATACTTATGGCCTGCCTATATTGTGGCCCCTGGCAAAAGCCAGGGTGGGGCTTCAAATAACAAAAAATTTCATCCTGAAAAGGACGAAACTGGATTAGTGATTAGGTAATTAACTAGTTATAAAATGTCATGGACCTTTACCAAAATCTCTTTAAAAAAAAGGTAGTCACAAAATATGTGATTTCTTCTTCTTCAAATTCTACTCCTCCTCCATCTAATCCTTCTGCTCCTTCTCTTCTTCATTCTCCATCGTCATCATCTACTATTTCTTTCTGTTCTTTCTTTTCTGCATTTCATCTCCTAATGGAGTGCAGACCATCAAAACTCTACAGATGAAGCATACATCCCCACCTCTTAACACATTAAGTATTACCACACCATCAATGTAATTCTACAAAAGATTATCACTCTGTCTGACACACTCATCCTGGTCAGAGTATACTCTAAAAGACTGATGTTTGAACATCTCTTAATTTTTATTTTCCCTCATGTACTGCTCTCTACAACTTTCTTACCTACCTTTATTTTCCTCCAGTGTAATTTTTTTTAAGAATAATATGCCTTTTAAAGTCACTGAACTATTTCATTTGTTTGGGTTTTTTGTTTTGTTTTAAACTTCAGGTCAATATGGCAGATAGGTCGGTTCACTGTTTTAGTTATAGCAAGATTTTGTTTCTGACAATAGTTAGCTGTAGAATGTTCCTTTATATACAGACTGAACGGATATAGTTCTGTCACCCAGCTAATTAGTTGAGTGCATGGCCGCATTTGTGAGCTGCAGATTTCATTTGCAGTGCTTCTGACAGGCCCAAGATTCAGTGAACGGCAATTGGAATGTTAATTAATTGTGTGTGCAGCTACTAATCTGTAACTGCTGCTTCAATTGAAGATGAACTACATTTCTAGTGTTGGATTGTTTGTGTTGGTACTTCTGATGGCTGCCTTATGCATTTAATGCACGTGTATGCTGTTGGATTTGCTGAGACTGGAGTCTTTTGTCAACTTTTTTACAAGGAACAGTGATGAACAGTCTGTGTGATTTTCATTGGCACAGGAATGAAGCAACTATGGGATGACCCATTTGTTATCAAGCTGAAACAGTGATTATCTTATATGTGTTTTATTTCCATCTGTCATTCTCAGTCCTTCTTAAACTTCTTCATCTGACAGTGTTTGCTTCCTTGAAATATGACGCATTCTTCTGTACACCTACATTGACATGGCACCCAATTCCTGCATATAAAAGTTATATATCTTTTTTAAGACATTTAAAACCAAACCCTAGAATGCTTTGGCTGTTAGTGGTTATATTAGATAATGTTATGTTCAACAGTTTTCCTTTGCTTTCTGAATAGTTCTGCAGCTCACATCATTGCTAAAATTAATGCAAAAGCTATCTGCTGCTAAACTCATCATCACTGTCTTGTTGTGCCATTACATGCCACATAGGGCACTCAGTCTATCCCTCAATTTTATTATATCCCCTTTCCTGCATATTTCTGAAGCAAAAATGCTTTTAAAGGCTGGGGGAGCTGGCCCCATGCTCAATCCTCCTCTTTTTTTATCCTGGCTTGGGACTGGCAATGACAGATATGCTGCTAAACTAACAGCAGCTGAATCAAACCTAGTATTTAAAAACTGTTAAATGGCTTACCCACAAAGGTCAATATAGTATCAAATGTTAGAGCATATATAGAGAACCAACCCAGAGGTCAATATAGTACCATATGTTAGCATATATAGAGAACCAACCCAGAGGTCAATATAGAACCATATGTTAGAGCATATAAAGAGAACCAACACAGAGGTCAATATAGTACCAAATGTTAGAGCATATAAAGAAAACCAACCCAGAGGTCAATATAGTACCAAATGTTAGAGCATATATAGAGAATCAACCCAGAGGTCAATATAGTATCAAATGTTAAAGCATATATAGAGAACCAACCCAGAGGTCAATATAGTATCAAATGTTAGAGCATATATAGAGAACCAACCCAGAGGTCAATATAGTATCAAATGTTAGAGCATATATAGAGAACCAACCCAGGGGTCAATATAGTACCATATGTTAGAGCATATAAAGAGAACCAACCCAGAGGTCAATATAGTACCAAATGTTAGAGCATATATAGAGAACCAACACAGAGGTCAATATAGTAAAATATGTTGGCATACATAGAGAACCAACCCACAGAGGTCAATATAGTACCATATGTTAGAGCATATATAGAGAGCCAACCCACAGAGGTCAATATAGCACAATATGTTAGAGGATATATAGAGAGCCAACCCACAGAGGTCAATATAGTACCATATGTTTGAGAATATATAGAGAACCAATCCACAGAGGTCAATAAAGTACCACATGTTAGAGCATATATAGAGAACCAACCCACAGAGGACAATATAGTACCATATGTTAGAGCATACATATAGAGAACCAACCCACAGAGGTCAATATAGTACCATATGTTAGAGCATATATAAAGAACCAACCTACAGAGGTCAATATAGTACCATATGTTAGAGCATACATAGAGAGCCAACCCATAGAGGTCAATGTAGTACCAAATGTTAGAGCATATACAGAGAACAAAACTCCTAGTCACCTGCATAGAGACCACATCCAGGTAAAGCACTGTCCCCAACTCTTCCAGGCAGTTTGCCAGACATCCCACTTGTGGACACCCCTAAGTTGAAGACATGTATGATGACAGTTATAGCAGAGTTAATCTTGTAACAACATAACTCCTGATTAGTTAATCACTCCTCGACTAGGCAGACATTTTTTTAAAGGATCTTTTTTATTTTGGATTGCATGCAAGTCTTTTACTCTAGGATTCAGATAAACTTATAAACAAGGAAAGTAGAACCGGCTGGCTTTACAAGAACACAATCATCAGTTACAAAGTTGTGGCTATAAAACCTTCATCAGCATGAAAAAGAAAAGAACACTGTACAACTAAATACAATTTTCAAAACTACTTGCTTAGCTTTTACGGTTTAAATCCTTGAGACACTGGAAAGTCCAGGTTAACATGAATATGACTAAATTTATCATGACTCCAGTCGAAAGTGACATGAACAAAGGGAAAGATCAGCACAGTGAGATGAACAGGGAGGGTGCACAGAAGAAGAATTGACTAATAAATAGAGACTGATAGATAGTAGGACTGATAGATAGACATGTTTAGATAGGACTGATAGATAGACACTTATAGATAGGACTGATAGATAGACACTTATAGATAGTAGGACAGTAGATAGACACTGATCGATAGCAGGACTGATAGATAGACACTGATATCAGTAGGACTGATAGACATTTATAGAAAAGACTGATAGGTAGACACTTATAGATAGTAGGACTGACAGATAGACACTTATAGATAATAGGACTGATAGATAGACACATAGCTAGTAGGACAGATAGATTGACACTGATAGATAGTAGGACTGATACATAGACACTTATAAATAGGACTGATAGATAAGACACATAGATAGGACTGATAGATAGACACTTATAGATAGTAGTACTGAAAGATAGACACTGATAGATAGTAGGACTGATAGATAGACACTGATATCAGTAGGACTGATAGACATTTATAGAAAAGACTGATAGGTAGACACTTATAGATAGTAGGACTGACAGATAGACACTTATAGATAATAGGACTGATAGATAGACACATAGCTAGTAGGACAGATAGATTGACACTGATAGATAGTAGGACTGATACATAGACACTTATAAATAGGACTGATAGATAAGACACATAGATAGGACTGATAGATAGACACTTATAGATAGTAGTACTGAAAGATAGACACTGATAGATAGTAGGACTGATAGATAGACACTGATAGATAGCAGGTCTGATAGATAGACACATAGATAGGATTGATAGATAGACACTGATGGACAGTAGCACTGATAGATAGACACTTATAGATAGTAGGACTGACAGACAGACACTGATAGATAGCAGGACTGACAGATAGACACTTATAGATAGGATTGGTAGATAGACACAGGATTGGTAGATAGACACTGATAGATAGTAGCACTGATAAATAGACACTTATAGATAGTTGGACAGACAGACACTGATAGATAGTAGGACAAATTGACACTGATACATAGTAGGACTGACAGATAGACACTGATAGAATAGCAGGACTGACAGATAGACACTTATAGATAGGATTGGTAGATAGACACTGATAGATAGTTGCACTTATATATAGACACTTATAGATAGTAGGACTGATAGATAGACACTTATAGATAGTAGGACTGATGGATAGACACTGATAGATAGTAGGACTGACAGATAGACTACTGATAGATAGTAGAAGACTGATAGATAGTAGGACTGATAGACAGACACTAATGGATAGTAGGACTGCAAGATAGACACTAATAGATAGTAGGACTGATAGATAGACACTAATTTATAGTAGGATTGATAGATAGACACTGATAGATAGTAGCACTGATAGATAGACACTGATAGATAGCAGGACTGACAGATAGACACTTATAGATAGGATTGGTAGATAGACACTGATAGATAGTAGCAACAATAGATAGACACTTATAGATAGTAGGACTGATAGATAGACACTGATAGATAGTAGGACTGACAGATAGACTACTGATAGATAGTAGAAGACTGATAGATAGAAACTGATAGATAGTAGCACTGATAGATTGACACTGATAGATAGTAGAAGACTGATAGATAGAAACTGATAGATAGTAGCACTGATAGATTGACACTGATAGATAGCAGGACTGACAGATAGACACTTATAGATAGGATTGGTAGATAGACACTGATAGATAGTAGCACCGATAGATAGACACTTATAGATAGTAGGACTGATAAATAGTAGGATTGACAGATAGACACTGATAGATAGTGCAAAGACTCTCTGTTGTCTTCTATCTGGCTCTAGTCACTGCACGCTTTCATTCACTGACCGACAACACACGAGAAAACATGGACACTGGCGAACGATCCAAGTCACACCGCTGTTTATTTATTCACTCGTTGGTACTGCAGCCAGTAAATGTTATGGTACAACACAGTCACTCATATCTATCCTCACTCACCGAAAATGTCAACTATACCTAACAATAAACATTCCATCGCCACAGCAATTGAAAGATATTGACGGGGATTCCTTCGATCAAAACACACACACACACACTCAGCTGGCTACGGAACTTCCGACAGGCGTTACTGTTGGCCAGGTAGGCGTTGGAAACCATTCTGCAGACATATCGGACTTGAACACTTTTCTGGATCCAGCAGACACTCCTACATACTTCATGTATTCATTTCCTAGGCATAGACTCCCGACCAGCCCTTTCTAAGGCATTATATAACCTTCTAATGCTCTCCGTGTGATTACACCTTCTCCGTGTTCTCAGATTTACACGCATTCCATTTGGCCAGCATTTTCTCTGTGATCCATGTGAAGTTCATTTTGTCAGCATTTCTCTGTAATTCCCGTGCTGTCTGAGTTACACTCAAATATTCCATTCACATTTATTTACTGACGTCGTTCTGTCTGGGACATAATTTATCTAGGAGAAAATGGATTCACTACAGATAGCAGGACTGACAGACAGACACTTACAGATAGGATTGGTAGATAGACACTGATAGATAGTGGCACTGATATATAGACACTTATAGATAGTAGGATTGATAGATAGACACTTATAGATAGTAGGACTGATAGACACTGATAGATAGTAGGACTGAAAGATAGACACTTATAGATAGTAGGACTGATAGATAGACCCTAATTGATAGTAGGACTGACAGATAGACACTGACTGATAGTAGGACTGATAGACTGATAGATAGTAGGACTGACAGATAGACACTGACTGATAGTAGGACTGATAGACTGATAGATAGTAGGACTGACAGATAGACACAATGGGGAAATTGCCGTCATGTGAAAATACTGGATACTTAGTTTTTGCAATGAACGAAAACACTGGGAAAATTAGACAGTTTTCAAGATACATGAGATGTAAAAGATTTAATTATTGTGATCTGGATCTTTTTTGAAAGATCCTTGAAAGTTCACTGTATCATCACTCGACATAGTTATCAGTGATGAGCCTCCTATAATAATAGTAAAAATATCAAGAAAGACCTGGATTTACAATTCTGTTAAAAGAAAAAAATAATGTTAGTATCATGGATGGAAAAGTAGAAATTGGGGAAGAAACAGTAGTAATAACTGAGGTACTGTGTTCAAACTTGAATGGAGCAAGCAAGGACTATGAAGGTTTGGCATGAAAATGGCTGGTCACCTCATCACATCATCCTGTGCCTTGCCAGCTGGCGTAGGCATTTATGCATCTCCACAGATCTCAGGCTTTGGTGTTCTGGATCAATACCACTGATGATATTCCACTGTCAAGCCATCCACCTTCATTTCTCTTGGTCTGCCTCTGCCTCTTCTACCAGTAATCTTTCCAGTTGTCATGATATCACTTTTGCTTGTCTCCTTCTCATTGTTGTCTTTGTCACATAAAAAATTTTAATTGCAGAGTTTAAAAAAATTATAAACATAGTAAACAAAGAGCGTAGCATGAAACTGCTAAGGGTTTTAACTCAAATTTTAACTGCAGGAAAATGAAGATGGAAAGAAATATACTTTAAAATGCTAAAATCATATTGCCAACACCAACACAGAAATCAACTTTTTACCTGCACAAATATTGCCCTGTTTATCCAGTGCCAGAATACCTAATGTATCATGCCCATGTCTCTGCTTGTCCACACCTACTACCATTTGAGGTTTCTTTAAAAATATTGAAATAAACCTTAATCCATTTTCTTTGCTTCAATTGTTATTTTGTCCTCTTTCTAACATTAAAGTTATAAATGACAGGTGTAATTTTTATATAACAATTTGAACGCACTTTTAATTGGTTTGTCTAATGCATATTTTGCTTCTAAGTCACTGCAACATTTAATTTCAACTTAGTGTTTCAATTTCTGAAGCATAAAGCTTTTTATAAGCCAGTTTTATTTCAATGTTCAGATCTTGTGGATTGTCACTATTTCTCTCAGTATTGAACTATGGTTTTTCTAAAGAATACTGTCAATACAAAACTCTTCTTCTTTTGATTCTCCCTGCTAGGATTTTTCAGATAAGAAAGCCATAGGCCTTTATAAAGGTTGCTGTGCGACACAAGTCATCTACCGATTCATACAGCTTGGTTTCCTCCATAATACCAACTTGCCAGAGCTGAGGTCTTTCTACTTCATGTAGGGATCGTGTCTGCTATAAAGGTTCACTATTTTGTTGTGCCTTTCTACAAGGGACAAAGTTCTGAATTTACACATGCTGTCATCCACTTGTGGGAAGCAAATTTTCGTTATTTGAAGCCCTACTCTTTTGCCAGGGGCCGCAATATAGCCCAGCCATAAATATGGTCTAATGGCTGAACACGGTTTCTGGGACCTCTCCATGAGTGATCCTCATCCACATGATGGTACTTTGTGTCATTCAGTGTTTATCGTTTGTGTGATGTCTTGGTGGGGTAAAAGAAGATAGATAGATAGTTCTGAATTCCAAATATGGAATTTGTTGTATTTTTTGGCTGTTGTGTCCAATCAAAAACACTGTCTGTTTCATTTATGTGAAGAAACTTACTAGGTCTTCAAGTTTGTTCTGGGTGGGAAATTTTCCACTAAGTTCTAATGGCTGTCCTGAGCTGGGTTTTATTTTCTTCATAAGTGCATCCTGGCTTTTCTGTACTATTCCTAATTTATTTCCCCTAATGCTGTAGTGACCTTTGATCCATTGGAGAAGAGATAGTTTGGCAAGCTGGCCCATTTGATTCTAAGCTTGTTGAACTGTGCTGGCTTGTCATTTTGTTTCACTTGCATTACTGAGCAATAAAATTTTAGTACAGTCAATTATGACACAGCTGCATTCTCTGATAACAAACTTAAAAGCCCAGATTGTTTTCTTTAGTAATGTAAATGACTGTGACTCAGATTGCCAAACAAATCTGTTCTGAAAATAGACTAAATTAGAATTTTAAACTGATACTGGGTCCAAACTTGTGGAGATTTGAACACGATCAACCCAGGCACCTGGGTGTAACTAGAGGGTCTAGCCGGCTCATTACACTCAGAGGAAAGACAAGACGGACATATAACCAGGTTGTGACTGGTACCATCAGTATTGGAACTCTGCACTGGCTGCTGAAGATGGGGATGGAGCATGTGTGGGAATGCCATGAGTGCTGTGATGTAGATTCTTGACTCAACTCAACTCTGATCAACCCAGTTCTGAGACCTGACATTAAGTTGCCACTACTGACTGTTGACCACTTTTGAGGTATAGGTAGCAGGGTCTTTGTGTCTGAGGATTTAGAGCCACATGGCTAGTTCCATCACCACAGACAGTGCTGAGTAGGATTTTATTTTCTGAGACCAACACACTTTTAATGTTACAGAACTTATTCTGTATCTACGGAGGAAGTGAATTACCGGATGTCTTCCCATGTTTTCCTGAAACTGAAAACCCTGTGCCCTGGCAAATCTGGCAGCTCCTGGTCCAGTCAGCATGCTGTGAGGACTTTTTTCCATCACTTGCCTAGCTACAGAAATAGCTTCAGCAAACCTAGAATAAATTCTAAAACGAATTATAATGCAACACCATACAGCACATGGCTTCAGCTTGCTCTTTTTCTTCCAGATTTGCTCTTAAAAGGTGATTGGTAACTTTTTGTGTGGTTTACAGCAAGGCTGGGATATCTCTGCCTTTTGGCCTAACACGTCTGATTTTAGCAAACCCCTAATTAGTCATCTTTTGGCATAGGACACGCTTGTTGGGGGGAGGGGGGGGGGGCAGTGGGCCTCTTCTTGTACTTCCCTCATCCCCAATTCCTGAACTGGGGCTCAGAACCCACACAGGCAATTAAACTGGCTTTAGCAAAGGAGGCATATAGTCTATAAAAGCTCATTTTTAATCAGCCACAATGAAACTGATATGTATATTTCTTCTAGGTCATCTAATTGTACTGTTTTTCTCCCAGTGGAGCATAGGTCCCTCAGCCAAATCACAATCAAACTCCTGTGCAGACTACATTCATGATTGGTGCATTTTGCAGATAGTTTTCTATGAAATAGTTAAAGTCGAGAGGATTCACTTAATTGCACAGCATTTTCCCATATTTAGCTCTGTCACTCTCTCCGCAGAATGGCTAGCAACCTGCCCTGAGCACTGCATAAAGCATGAACTCCCTAGCTCCTAGGGATCTCCATAAAAACTGTACATGTAATCTGAATAATAATCTGAATAATTTGTCTGTTAAATGAAACCACAGCCTTCAGATTATGAGGCAACCAGCTCAATCACTTTGTCGGAACACCCCAAATATGGAATGTTAGTGGGGTTGTTTGTTTTTTAAACCATCATAAAAAAAGACCTTTTTGTGTATTTAGCGCTAGAGCTATATTTTTTTTTATACCAATCGGCACTTGGTGGCTGATGTGGTCACCTTTACTACCCATGTCTGTTGCCTAGTTATATGGGACAAGGCAGTCAATATCCCAACAACCCAGCTTAGTCATCTCTAACAACAGCTAACAGGGTTACTATTGTTTGCTTCCCTTATGTACACCAATAATACATGGGGAAATCATCTTTTTATTTTAATATTGCTGCCTATTACAATTTCTTTCAGTGATGCATCTTGTACTGCAAGATTTCATTTGCCGTTACAGATTATTCAGCCTTATTACTTTTTCACTCACAAAATACAAGTTTTATTGTAGCACAGCTCTCTTCTTTGTTTATGCAGATGTGAAACCACCAGATTCATCTTTAGTTTGCTACCCGGCGGAGTCAATTAAAGAATATAGACGAGGCGTAAGAGGGTGATGACAATGATGTCTTGCTAGCTGCATGCTTCTCACATCATGCGGCTGCTTGCATAATAAAATGTTTTGAAACAATTCTTTTCAATGCACCGACTTTATTGTAATCTCCAAATGCAATAAATAACATCAGTAATATTCTGAATGACAGCTGATTTTGCTCTATAGTTATATACTTTTGATGTCACATTGTGTTCTTCATCTCTAGTTACTTTATTAACTGCTTCTAGTGTCTGTAACTGTCGCCTGGCTTCTAGCGCTGTTTGGTACTAACTGGTTAATCATCAACTCTAATAACTCAGTAATGTTTCACCAAATGTGTCTCTGTTGACCATGGATCCATGTATCTTGTTTGTTGCCTCTGTAGTTCAATATCTTGTTTCATGTCTCCTCTCTAGTGTCAGTTTTTGAGGCTCAATGCTACTGGTTCCTCTCCTTTTAGTGTTGAGCTGGCATCTCTACACCTGAAGGTTCTTCCTAACATGTGAGGGTCTATACTACTAGCCCCTCCTTTTTCAAGTTCCTAGGACTGAATGTTCTCATTTGCAAGGGTCAATATGACTAGACCCTCAGTGACACAAGGCTTTCATCTGCAAGGGTCTTTGCTACTAATCCCTCCTCTTCTAACTATGCACAATATCCTATATACTAGCAAACAAGTGATGGTTCTAGAAACAACTGTATTACATTATACTGAAGTGAAAGATTTATTAAAAATTGTTTAGCTGTGTTACTTTCTGTACCTGTTCTTTTTTCCAATATGTCTGCATTATTTTCCAATTATTTTTTCACCGCTAATTTGAAATCGTGTATTATGCAATATATGCAGTTTTTTATATGCGGATACCCAGGTTTATGAGCTGATTTAATTCAATGCATTCCTAATCTGCATTAAATCTGTAAAAGGTCTGTACACAGATGGTTCAGTGGCAAGAGGCAAAATAAGTGTTTGGAGTTTCTTTGCAAAAGTTAATGGTTGATATTTGGTGCAGAATAGCACTGCATATGATACCACAACATCCAGTTTGAGAATGGAGGTGGAGGTGGTCACTGCAGCTTTCTGCTTGTTAGAGAACATGACACATACACACACATCTTGATTGTAATTGACTCAGAAAGCAGGCTGCAGAAGGTTGAGGACAGGCATGCTTCGTGCAGAGTGGTATGCTTCACTGCGGAGGTCACGGGTGAGAAGTAATGTCTGAATCTTTTCTGCGGGATATGCCGGTGTGGTGGGAAATGAACAGGTGGACAGACTGGCTGGCTCTGCACAATCTGTTTGAATACTGATGCATGATAAGACAGATATGGTTAGAGCCTTGAGGGACAGCGTGTACAAATCAGAGGAGCAAATGGATCACCACAGTGTGGTGAGAGTGATGCAGTGGGGAGTGAAGAGGGGTTCTGGCCTATACTCGACACTTAGAGGTAAGGCAAGACGGGCGTTTAATCAGAAATCTACTAGCACCATTAGTATTGGAACTTTGCACTAGCTGCTAAAGATGGGGACAGGGTGCTTATGGGAATGCCCCGAGTACGAGGATATCGGTTCTTGATTCAACTCAACTAAAAAAAATTTCTCATCATTCTTCTATAAAACCACATCCAGGCAGCTTCCATATAATTTATTAATCATCTGTTAATTGTTTTAAATAAATTCTATTTATCATGTTTAGCTATACATAATTGTTAAAAATTATCTTTCTCACCTCAACTAAAAAAGTCAGATTGCAGAAGATAAGTAACAATTAAACACCAGAAATAGCTTACCCTGTTAGAGCAGTAACAGCTCCAAAATTCATATCTGTTCCATTCATGATTGCAGCATCCAGTTCCAAGACAAGATCTGAATTCTGCCACCCTCCACAACCAACATGGTATGGTCCATAGTTAGGATCCACTTCTGCTACTACATAAAATGGAATAGATGGTGAGAAACTAGTATTTTATTTTAGAAAATAGCTTTAAATTTAAGAAACTATTTATAAATTAACTTTTTCTGAATTTCATTGACTTTAAGATAGCCTTTGATAGCTTAAACAGAATACTACTGTGGCAAATCTTAGAATGTTATGATATACCAATGAAGATAATAAACTTTATTAGAGCATTGTATGTGGGCTTAGAGTGTTCAGTGTGCACAGAGAATGGTTTTAAAAAATGGTTTACAATGGAAACTGGGGTGAAACTGAGATGTATTTGTTCTCATCTGTTATTTAACATAACTACTGACTGCTGAGTGATGAAGAAATATTGCATTGGAATCATTGGCATCTATTGGATGGAGAACATGTAACTGAAGGATCTAGATTTTCAGATGATAATGTTCGGCTAAGTAAGAATGATGATAACATGCAAAGAAAAATTTCACAGATATAGCATAAAAAGTAAGACTACAAGTTAGATATGAAAAGGCAAATATAATGAAAACATCAGTAACAGATCAAGTAGATCTCATACTGAAGAAAAACAAATTAAAAGAGATAAGTTTACTTACTCAAATAACAAACCCAACTGCCAAAAAAGCATAAAGAAAGAAATTATGACACATCTTGGCAAGGCAACAGCAGCTTTTGAAAGCCTGAACGAAATATAGAACTGTAAATCATATAGTTTTAAAACAAATGTATGTATGTTTTAGTTCTGTTATCTATATTTTAACATATGCTATCAACTGTTGGAGAACCACTAAAGACATAGAATGGAATGTGACTATAATGACACAAATGGATGATGATTTCAATTTAAGGATAAATAAAAAAAAACTATAGAAGAAATTAGAAAGTGTTCATGCTATTTTGGCAATTAGAAAAAATTAAAAACTAAACCAAACTAAATAAAACCTATTAAAAACATGGCCTCTTAACCAGTACTCGACAAACACAGAAAACAAATAAAAAATATCACCCTTTCACAGCACTGATGAATTTATTTCTCATCCCACATATATTTTACCATGTTTTTGTAGACAGTCAGCACTCAGTGGGTTATTTGGCCAACACTGGTCACCTTTACTTGCCAGGACATTTCCTCATACCTATTTTTAGGTTGTCAAATTGTGAGCCCTAGATGATAAGTACAAATCAAAACGAATCCAAATTCAACACATGTGGACGGATATTTAAAAAAAAAAAAATCAACTGCATTAATCAATATGAGAAAGACTATGTGCACTCAATTAATTATTTCTTCTGTATCAGTCTTACAAGCCGTCCAGTGTATTTCTGGTAATCACTGATATCATTTACTTGAAAGTTTCACTACTAAAACCTTCATATCTGCTACTATATTCTTTGCCAAGTGTCTTATTTGAGTAGATTCATGTTCTGTCCTTGCTAATGTGAATTTTTTTTTCTTCAGTTTCTACTCCTGTTGTTATTGCCTTGTAGCTATGCATGAATCACATATGTTCCAATCTCAGTCAAGACAGGGAATCCAATCTAAAATAAAAGGTACATGGAAGAATTCTCAGAAGTAAAGATAGTCTGTGTAATATTGGAAACATTACCTATCAAGTAATAGTTAGTTTATCGATGTACAGGACCAACACCATATAACCAATATGCCTATGGGTGTGGTAAAGTCCTTTACTTTACTATTACAACTGCTCTTAATTTTGTTTTCTGAATTATTTCATATTTTTCTTTAGTTATGTATTCACAGGTTAGAAGTGCATTACCTTTTTTTCTAATGTAGTTTTTCTCTCCAAGTTTTTAAGGGCTATTCTACTACATTCTCTCATGAGTGTGTGTTAATTTTGGTGCTCGTTTCTCTGCTAACTTGAACCTCCTTTGCTATAAGATGTGCTTCACCCCTAACCCTCTTTTCTATCTTATTCCCCTCAATCGAATTCTCTGCTCCTTGCATTTCTTTTTTTTCACAACCATGTATAATGTAATGTGCATGACTTCTTGCAGTCAGATAACTGTAAATAAAAAAATCTTCAATAATCAGTCACAGTTCCAATAAGTATAATCAAAATCAAGTTAATAGGAAAAGAAATATTCAAATTTAGCATAAGTAAGTCATATATATATATATATATATATATATATATATATATATATATATATATATATATATATATATATATATATATATATATATATATATATACATGTATGTGTGTGTATATCCTTTACTTATTCCATTCCTAATTGCTCACTTACACTCTCTATATATGTCACAGTTGGCCTCATTGCCAGTCTACAGAATTAACTAAGATGTAAACACTCCCACATTCTTACCATGTATTCCTGCCTCCACTGCATCAAGTGAAGTGCTGTAATTACTCAAACACTGCATAGCTTTCCTGACAGGTTCTCTGGAGAATGGCCAGGTTCCAACAACACAGGCTGATGCTGCCATTCTTGGTGTTATTTACCTATAGCTAAAATAGGTTCACAAATCTATAAATGAAATTTTATCTGATAAAGTAGTTTACAGCAAGGCTATTCAACTGGTGGCCCGCGGGCCATAGCTGGCCTACAGAGATGTAACAACTGGCCCCTGGACCACATGTCAATTGCATTGTATTATTAATCTTTCTGTGCTCAGGGCTCAGGCCGATGGCCATGACAATCCACAGTTTCGAAATTGTGGTCCCTGAGTAAACTTAGCTGAACAGCCCTGGTTTACAGTATACAGTCAAATGAAATTAGGAATGCCATCACAGCACAGGGGTTATACACTCATTAGCCGACCCCTAAATCCTGGATTTGAATCTGCTGCGAAATGGATTCATTCAGAACTGAACTCAGCCTTCAATTGGTACCACATATAATGTCCTGGGGTGTGAAAGTGGTCAGTGTGACACCGATAACATCACCCACTGAGTTCCAGTTGGTCTATAAAAACTGAATCTAGCATCATTGGCATGATGGGCCATTGGCACAAAAATTAGTCCTTTATTTACTTGGTGTTCCCTAAAATAAAGACACAGAGGTTTCCATGGTGAAGTAGTTTTGAGTTGTCTGCCTCACACAATATAGTTATACCAAGTATTTACTTTGGTAGCCATTTGGGAGTGACTGAACAGTGCCGAGGCACAGATAGATCATTACAGTCTGAGGAGAACGGCACTGCGAGGAGTTACAAGGGGATCTTGCTGACGCTCGACACTCAGGGGAAAGGCGAGACAGATATACAATCAGAGAGTTAACTCTTTGCTTGCTGCTGAAGATGAGGACGGAGCGCTTATATGGGTGTCCCGAATGCTGTGATGTCAATTCCTAATTCAACAACAACATTCAACTCTGGCACATGCTTTAAAATATTTACTGGAAATATTTATTAAGCTACAAATATTGAACATTTTCTTCCTTTACTAACAGAATAATAATTCAAATATTATATATGGCGGTCTCCATGGTGAAGTAGTCAAGTCAGCTGCCTCATGCTCTGAAGTTCATAGGTTCATCTCACGACTGCAATATTCAGTTTACAGGTGCAGTTTTTACAAAGATCCCTGGGGATTTTCAACAAAATTTTTTAAACAAAAACCATGTACTGTATCTATGACTGTAATAAATGTATGGTGTATTATTCTAATAATCATGAGTGAATGTGATTCCAGCAGCTATGTACAAAAGTTCCACTTTTAAGTGTTTGCTTATATGTTTCATGCTTTTTCAAATATATTATTATTTTTTCCGCCCTTTAGCAAGTTATTATTAATATTAGGCAGTTCAAAAAGGGAAAAGCCCTTCTGAGCAGCCCTAGGGGTCTGTGTAACCCTGAAGTTTTCTTTGGCAGAAGAAGAAAAAAGAAGAAGAAGAAGAAGAAGAAGACCTAAGTAAGTCAGACCTTAAATAAGCAAAACAATAATATTTCACGCTAGCAAAATTTCATGGATTAGACAAGACTCCCTCATTAAGCAATACCAGGGGGAAAAAAGGGGGGGGGGGGGAAGCCTCAACAGTGGGCCTTAGGCCTATCAGGAATGAGCATCCAAGACCTCTGACCTGAAGGTGGCAACGAACCGACAGACATGGAGAGCTATGACCTCTACCATATACGCCGCCTTCGGCTCAAGAGAAAAGACTAACTATTTAAAAAAAAAAATTTTTTTTATTGTTATACACAAAATACTCACACTTACACAAGTTCACAACTTTGGTTTACAGAGAACAATATCCATTACTTTGTACTTCAACAGCTGTTGCTGCCTTATAATTAGATCGGCAAACGTAACCATCGTCCCGCCCATTCATCTACCCACACCATTTATCTCACCATCCACTCAATGCTATTTTGCACCGCTTCCTTCCATTCTGGCTGTTACCAGCCTTACACTTGGGCTCTACCAATACTTTGTATAAAAATCACCCTTACTGTCTCTATTTGATAGCGGACAGTAAGAGAGAAGCACTGTGTTACTAGACTCATGTTTTTACCTCATTTCATATTTGATCAATCAATCCATCTATCTACGATACCATTCATCCACTAATACAGTCATCCATCATTCCATCCATTCATCTACCCACCCATCCATCCATCTACCATTCCATTCATCCACTAATACAGTCATCCACCATTCCATCCATTCATCTACCCACCCATCTATCCAGGACACACTCGCCTATCCACACCACCATCCACACATGCTGTTTTCCCATCTATCCCTTCATCGCTCCCTTACACTCTGGTTGTTACCAGTCTTACTCTCGGGCTCGACTGATTACTTTTGTAAAGCAAGCATCCTTACTGTCTCTATTTGATAGCTGACAGTAAGAGAGAAGCATTTATCTATCTATCTATCTATCTATCTATCTATCTATCTATCTATCTATCTATCTATCTATCTATCTATCTATCTATCTATCTATCTATCTATCTATCTATCTATCTATCTATCTATCTATCTATCTATCTATCTATCTATCTATCTATCTATCTATCTATCTATCTATCTATCTATCTATCTATCTATCTATCTATCTATCTATCTATCTATCTATCTATCTATCTATCTATCTATCTATCTATCTATCTATCTATCTATCTATCTATCTATCTATCTATCTATCTATCTATCTATCTATCTATCTATCTATCTATCTATCTATCTATCTATCTATCTATCTATCTATCTATCTATCTATCTATCTATCTATCTATCTATCTATCTATCTATCTATCTATCTATCTATCTATCTATCTATCTATCTATCTATCTATCTATCTATCTATCTAGCTGTCTGTCGATATTTGTTTGCAAGCACAGGCACCACTTTTATTCCACGCGGATGGACTAAGGTCATCCCCACAACCCAACCCCGGTTACGCCCTATAGGCCAACCCCTCCCTCCCTCCTTAGACACTTAGTGTACGCTGTTAGCGTCCAGCCCGTCCCTTTTCCCCTACCTGCGCGTTGGAGGTATATAGTTGACCGTCGTTTCATTTGAACGAAGTTTTTTCGCCAGGGACACTAGATGAGTATCGTTAATTTTATACATTAGAGTCCTATGTAGTCACTTCATAGTTAGAGCCTATTTGTGTATGTGTACTGTCTTGTCCTTTATGTGCTGATGAAGGCTAATCGCCGCAACGTCCTTTGTTTGTTTATTGTGATCGATTTTGTAAAGCTAACATAAACTAATTGTTGTTTCTTACCAACTTTTTCTCTTCCCTATAATTTTCTACTCCTTATAAAAACTTATAATTAGATAAATGTTCCACTGCAGTTGAAGCGGGGAGCGTTAGGGAGTGAAAATCCCTTATCCGCTTCTTGTGCGGCTTATGATTGAAAAAAAAAAAAAGCATACGATGGGTGGTAGGACCAATATTAATTGTGCTGTCTTTATTTCCTGTCACATATCACTCCTGTCGCGTGCCTAATGTAAGGATTTCTCCTTCAGAACCAGCAGCACTCAGAGATAATTTTGTTGAGTCGTTTGGCTCGTATTGGTCTAAGGGATTCCCCGTGGCCAATATACGATCAACTTATCTCTGGAGTAGGGCAACTCAAGTATTGGCACTACAAAATATGTCAATATATATATATATATATATTTCTAGGCACACTTGGCTGGACACCCCCACTACTTACTAAAGAAAGCCCCCAGGTTATGATAGTTCATTATCATAACCATGTTAACACATATAATGAAGATACATACACATACAACTGCTAAACACTTAAGAAGGTGACATAGAGAAACCTAAGTCAGCCATGAAAATGAATGCATGTATTTAGTATAATATCTGTACAAAAACAATTGAAGTGAATTCCAGCTATCAGTGAAAGAATTTCAGCACTAATGTCTAGATCCTAAGGAAACTAGGCAGACAGCCGGTCCTGGAGGTGACTATATGTCATCATGGGAACCAATGGAGCTGTGAGGAAACAAACAGCAATTGAGCATCAGACTTAGCTTCTGTCCTTTCTGCCTATGATGCCTCCCTCAGCTCCGGATGATTTGACTGCCTTTGACTCTGGGAATTCTGCTCCACTGGATCAAGTAGCAAGAGTACTTCACTGTACAGCAACTGTACTGGTATCTAGCATGTCTATATCACCAGTAAGGACACACAATGTCTTAGAGCCACATTACTCTGGCACTGGTAGCTGTTTGAGGCACAATCTCCCCCATTTTTGGAGATGTCAGGAACCTTCACAGGTGTTATCTGGTGGGTAACAAGTTGGTTCTGGTGGTTGGATTGGTGGGTGGATGTTGTTGAGACTGTGAATCTTCTGCCAGCTCTTCAGAAAATATACATCCTGTCAAGAAAATAACTCAACATTAGTCATCATCAAGAGGGTAACATCTTGACAGGAAAGACAGATCAAGCATAGTCATCAACTCCCATCTGCTGACTCCTCCCTGCTCCCCTGTTTCATTCCTCAGATTGTCTCTCCAGACCAAAAGACATAAGTCTCCTATATTTATCTGTCTGTTTAGTGCAAGAGAAGGCAAGTCAGATATGCAGTGGAGATAGATAAAGTGGTCTAACACATATATCATCTCCCTCTATCCCCCTCACTCTGCACACAAACACCAATATTTACTGTCAGTACCTGCATTCACTAGTTTTCCCAACCGCCCCAGCACTCATTGATCTGGGTCAAGCACACACATACTTTGATTAACACAGCCCTGACCCAATTCTGTCCCCATCTCGTATGTACAGATTCTGTAAGTAGTTTAAACCGTACACAAGTGTAAGGGCATTAAATGTTTATCAGTATGGGTGGTTTATTGAGGGCATAAGCTATTTAGTCTGTACAGTGGAAGATCTACGTTCGAATCCGCTACTCTAGCGATCAAGAATGGTAGAACTAAGTGAGATCACACAGCCGATATGGATTTCTATACAGCAGTGACTACTTTACAGACAACATTCTAGGTACTCGTAAACTATAA